CACATGTAGAGGGAAAATAGTAAAAAGGAGAGGTATAATCATTCTTATTAAGCGTTTGCCTGTAATTGGAAACTTTAGCCACGGAAAGCCACACACGCAATAAACAATGACTCTTTTATTTTCGCCGATTTCATTGTAAAATTCCTTTTAAACAGAATGAAAATTTAACGGGCGGGAAAACGCCGTATGAGATAATAATGCTGATGAGAATTAAATTCTGACCAGCCAAATTAAATAGCAAGAGGGATAAAATGAATTACCATGTACAGATAGAAAATTTTAAATGATTTAATGAGATACCAATAATGACAACGAGATAATTACTGACTGGCTAACTAACTAACTTATTTACTCACTAATAAAAGCACATGTGTTCTAATGAGGGACCATTGTCTTGAACATGATGAGGTACAAGAAATTTTCAGTGACGTGTTTCTGTGTTTACCTAGGTATACTACCCTTATGTATATACGCAAGACTGGTTTATTCTTCACAACAACGCAATGTTAGGCTTTATAGTTTACAAACTGGGAGCAGTGTGAACTTAGTTAGCGTTTCCGTGATTTTGACTGCCGTTTTACACTTTAATGGCGACCATAATTGCCGTTCTCTTCTTTATTTCCAAGTCTGCAATCTCGGCTTGGGATTTGTTGCCCAGTGCTTGGAGAAAAGCACTTCACAAATAGGCCAATAAAATCACGGACGCCCGTGTAAAGGAAATATGTAGATAGACAACATGTTTATCCTTTGTGTAATAAACTTGATAGTCGCGCGACTTAAGTTGCCTGTAAACTGTCAGTTAAATATAGATTTTCGCAATGATCAAAACCTTTGACATAATACCAGATTCGATGGGTAAACTGTTTATACACAGTGAGATTTTAAAACTCAAATTACCCAACGGTTTTATTGTTTAAGTTTATTGAAATCGAAAGGATCATCCTTATTTCATCTTTTAGTTTCGCTAAGAATATTTGACGTTTGCTGGAATGTAATTAAAATCCAATGTGCTAATGTTTAATTAGGGTTCAGTTTTCTGTGATACCCTGTTTCGTTCGCGTTGCACGTTGTATCAACAAAGATGGCTACCGTGTCTTTGACTTTACAGTTTTAAAACTAAGAGAAAACAGTAATAACTGAAGACTCTAAATAAAAGGCACAATGAAAGAGAGGGAGATCTTTAACTTTAAGGTTTTTAAACTAAGAGAAAACAGAAAGGACTGAAGCTTCTAAATGAAAAGGCACACATACACAAAGAGAGAGAGAGAGAGAGAGAGAGCGATAGTTCACTAACCAACGTGTTCAAATTTCATAATAGTAAATAGCAGAATAAAGGAGTTTATAAAGTGTCCTCTTCTTTTTGAAAAACTTTTCAGGCCACATACATTTCACCAATAAGAAAAAGAAAGAAGTAAACCTGGGTTGTTCTACAAACACTAAAATCTTAGAATGGTACTCTCTCTGTGGAAACTTATTATTTATATAAACAATTTGATCAAACAAGGTGTATGCTCGAAACCATGCGTCAAACGGCAGGAGGTGCAATTTTGGTATTGCGTCGCCTTTGCACCTCTAACACATCCATACACGGCAGGCCCGTTAATTTTTATTGTAACCGATTTAATACTTAGGCCACACTTTTTTATTTTTATGGANCATTTGACATAATACCAGATTCGATGGGTAAACTGTTTATACACAGTGAGATTTTAAAACTCAAATTACCCAACGGTTTTATTGTTTAAGTTTATTGAAATCGAAAGGATCATCCTTATTTCATCTTTTAGTTTCGCTAAGAATATTTGACGTTTGCTGGAATGTAATTAAAATCCAATGTGCTAATGTTTAATTAGGGTTCAGTTTTCTGTGATACCCTGTTTCGTTCGCGTTGCACGTTGTATCAACAAAGATGGCTACCGTGTCTTTGACTTTACAGTTTTAAAACTAAGAGAAAACAGTAATAACTGAAGACTCTAAATAAAAGGCACAATGAAAGAGAGGGAGATCTTTAACTTTAAGGTTTTAAAACTAAGACAAAACAGAAAGGACTGAAGCTTCTAAATGAAAAGGCACACATACACAAAGAGAGAGAGAGAGAGAGAGAGAGAGAGAGAGAGCGATTGTTCACTAACCAACGTGTTCAAATGCATTCCATAATAGTAAATAGCAGAATAAAGGAGTTTATAAAGTGTCCTCTTCTTTTTGAAAAACTTTTCAGGCCACATACATTTCACCAATAAGAAAAAGAAAGAAGTAAACCTGGGTTGTTCTACAAACACTAAAAACCTTAGAATGGTACTCTCTCTGTGGAAACTTATTATTTATATAAACAATTTGATCAAACAAGGTGTATGCTCGAAACCATGCGTCAAACGGCAGGAGGTGCAATTTTGGTATTGCGTCGCCTTTGCACCTCTAACACATCCATACACGGCAGGCCCGTTAATTTTTATTGTAACCGATTTAATACTTAATATAGGCTCTACACAAGCAAATATCTTAAAGGTATACTATACACGTTTGAGATATCTCTCTGGAAACTTGGGTTTTGATGCTTTTTGCCACTGTCCCCCAGAGAAGATGCTGACAATTTTATCTTTTGACGACACATCTAGTATGATCCTTCTAGACTATAGTTTAACGGTGTACCTGGCCAGGTATTTTGTTTTGTACTATATCGCTGGATGACGGATTCCAGGGCGAACAGCCATGTCCTTTTGCTTGCGCCCAAACACACACACACACACACACACACACAAAAAAAAAATTACCAAGCTATACCTCGTTTTTTAAGACGAAGCATTGACACCCTACAAAAGTGCTAATCAAAACTGACTTGTAACTATAGGCCCTACAAACATCAGTGACTAGGCCATGAGCGTACACGTGGCCTTCCATTCTGCTATGATCTGCTATTCAGGGTATACTATTTAAACCAACTGTTTTGCATTACTCAAGAAATTTTGTCCTAGTTGAAAATTGTGAAATTGTTTATTGGTCAATGCTATATGGGGGTTTGTGGCAATTATCTTAGTGAACGTTGAAATAATATTTAGGCCTATATCTTTAATTTTCAAAATATTCCATCACTTTTAGCAAATCTTGAGTATATTTTTCTGAAAAGTCAGGAAGACATGACAGTCTATATGAATCATGATTCGTTTATAAGTATATTATTTTTAGATAATTTAGTTCTAAACGAATAATGATTAAAACGAACCAATATTGAATCTATTTGAAATTAGAAACAGAGCAAAACAGAATGCAGGGAAGGGTGGAGCAATGATACGCGAATAGGCGAATATGAAAAAGTACTTTTTCTCGATAATAAAAATATTTGTCGCGAAAGTCCCGAATAGACTACCTTAAACCAGTTATCAAGAATTCCATAATCCATTACCATGTTCCTGTACATCATCCTTCGCACTGATGAACTTCAAATGTTAATCTGTAGGGGGGTTGGTTTAGCGGACTACCAAAATCAAAACAAAGAAGTCGCTACTTATTTTCATTCTGTATAGCGGCCATATTCTGCAGAAGAACTGTTTTAAGTTGAAACTGTCGAAAACAGACGTAATGAACGCGGCTCTTTATTGCCAGTGATTCCACGTCTCCGTTTTCTACAAAGACTCCAAAACAGACTTTTTGCAAAGTGAACTAATGGTCCTCAATTGAATACTGCTTTATAAGAACCCCTGAGTATCTAGGTACTAAACGGTCATAACTTTCATGGTCACTCTCACTTTAACCTTGGAAACGACAAAAGTAAATGAAAAGCTCAATTATTCTCATCTCAATATTTTTCTATCGACACGTTCATTTTACCCCATAATTGATACGTGCTTAATTTCAGCAAGATGTCTTATTAGTTAAGAACGCAGGTATTGTAGAACTAAACTGCATACATTTAATGGCAGCCTTACTATAAAAAAGTCGATTAAGACACGCCGAGCAAAAAACGCATATTGAAGGATAAAACTCTAAAGAAAAAAATGTACTTTTAAGTAATTACAGACCTCGTAGATTTTTACAATTCGATAAATATAAGATACTGTGGGAAAATGCATTAGTCCTTTTTTCCGCAAAGCTTTCAAGAAATAAAATTAATTGTTTGTGAATTGCGTGCCAGTTGAGGTTGTTTAGATATAATTGCCAATCTTTTCTTCGTCAGATAAGATTTTGAGCGAAGTTTCACGTGCTTCAGTATTTATTAAAATATATCCATCTATACGCAATGCCATTAAATGATGAGTGGGAATTATTCTGTCGCGCATTACAACAGAGTACAACATAACATTTCCTCTTGATACAAAATGTACCAAATAATGAGTTGGAAAAGTACAATGGAAAAAAAAAGAGAAGCGCCATTAGATAACAGGGACGTTAATCCCCTTGTGTTCAAGACTGAATTCTTAAAAAGACTTGTATGTATGAAGGTAACTCATACTATATTGTGTAAATGTCTGTTCTGACATCTTCGGCGTGATATAAAACAAAACAAACTCTGTGAATTTTGATCGACTCGTGTAACGATTATTGAACAAACGCCATATAACGCGTTTTCATTGAAATCACTGGCTATTACACTCTGCATCAAAGGTCTTATATCCAGGTCATTACAAGCGCACAACAGGCAGTAGTGAAAAAAAAGTGAAGTAATTAGAGATAAAATCCGGAAATTTCCCAATTAATTGTCACATTTCATTAAAACTGCTGATTTATCGTTCGATAGACATTTATTTCATTTTAAAGAAAAATCCAGCCATTTAGTGTGAGATATTAGAAGTAACTTAGACGAAAAGTAATTCAAATATCTCAAATTCAATTATAAGGAATCTCCACATCAAAAGAATTAATCTTTTAATACAAAATCTGAGTGTTTTCAAACACGCTCTTCTAACAAGTATAAAAACCCAACTGAAAAACCCTCAACTTCACCAGTGTCTGAATAGTGCCTCAGCATACGCACATTCTCTGACGAAAAGATTTCCGCTGCCAAGATGCTGAAGCTCATTCTTCTCGCTGCGACCTTAGCCGTTGCTGCTGCGTTGGTTCCGTATCCCTACAAGCCAATCTACCACGCAGGAGGCCCTGTCTATAGAGCCAGCAGCTACGCTGCTGGAAGGGGCTACGCCGGAGTCGGTAGGAAAGTCTATGGGGGTACGTACGCGGCTGGGTACGGTACTTATGGAAGTTACGCTGACTACGGCACTGGCTACGTTGGCAGCGGTCACGGGCATGGCTATAGAAGCGGCTATGGCTATGGGAATTCTTTCGGAACTAGTTACGGAAAAGGTTACAAGAGCTACAAGAAGTACTAATGGTACGTTTATGAAAAATGTCTCTCTCAAGCTCTTAATCTGTATTTTTTCTTTTTCTTCCGTTTCTTTCTGATTTGAATAGGAGTGTAAGTTCCTTTTCTGATATTGAAATAAATCGATACTCACTTAAAACGAAAAGCAAAACCAGAGTCACACTGCCAGTCTTTTTTTTTCAGACAATCTGCTACTCTGAATGACGGCCATCCAAAATTGTTGAACTAAGAACATTCTGCTGCGCCTCGTAAGTACCGGCACGTTCACCAAGGAAGCAGATCTACAGCCTCTCTGAGATTTGCTGATGCTCTACGTGCTAGCCTACTAAAGATCAATGGATGCTGCCGAAATTTTATCAATAGATAACATAACATAACACATCCTCTAATCAATGCGGCTGTTCTTTTGTGAATTTTACTAGTCTTTGATGAGCTATTAAAAATTCTTTGCTTGTGAACAGTTATTGTTGTTGTTACATGTACATGTACCTACTGTACGAGTAAATGTAATAAGAAAGTATTTTGATTTGGGGATCCTCATCCATACCACAACATCTAATTCTACTCGGTGACATTAAACATAAATATTATACAGGTTTATTCCCCCTTTTTTCTGTCTTTTTTTTTTTTTAACAAATTGCATCTGAATGGCAGTTCTACTTATTTCCCAAACATGAATGAAAAATAGAAGTTATATATTCTTTCAAACAAGAGTCAGCTTCTTTTTAGTACAAATTAAATAAATTTTTGCGTAAAGATTACTATAGAATATTTACACAGATAACTTTTAATAAACGGACCTGTATAGGCTACATCCGCACAGAACAGGTCTTCTGACCACTTCCTCCTGAGAACTTGCTCAAACTTATTCAGGCATATACATGTAGGCCTACATGTACCTGGGCTTAAAAAATCTCTGAACGTTTATCGTGTGACTAAAAAGTGCGGATGACAGTAAATCCTGAAGAATCTCAAGACCCATTTCCAGAACTGAACTCAAACATGACCATGAGTTAAAACATTACCATGAATTAACACATGAAGATATAATCTCTTTAATCTGTAACCTTGCTACTTATCCGACTTTCTAACATTCTTTTGCAAAAGGAGACAGAAATCATGACATCAAAGTCAAGGTCGGGTAGAATTTTAGGCACAGCAGGTGTTTACGAAATGTCACACAATTTCAGGTAGGTAATTGGCTTTATTAGTTATTCATAGTTCTGAAAATTGTGGCGTTGTTTCAGTAGACAGTGGAATATGTGACTAAAGATGCAATTGTCGCAATGTAGAAACGTTTGCTTTAACTCAGCTTAATTTTCTCTGAAATCTTCAGTGAAAATCCAAGTCGATCTGTACTGTATTTGCGTGCCTCGATTTTTCCATTATCATACCATCATACTCAAACTGTTTTCTCTTTGTTTTTGTTAAAAAATGAACTGTTATAATAGTGAGTTTCTCCCTTTTAGTTGAATTAATTGAAGCATGGCAACACAATGATAATAAATTAATAGAGATAAACCAGTAGGGACATTTCATCAGTGGTGTAGACGTAAATCCAGTTACGTACAGAGCACTGGCCTCCACTGCAGTTAGTAATGTCCAAGCTAACAGCCCCACAGTTCCCAGCTCCTTTCTCTGCCCAGAGAGCTGGAGTGAGTGGAGCAGCAGGCAGACACAAAGTGGCCTTGAAGCCCGGCCGGTCACTGATGGACTGGGTCAGGCTGACCAAAAGTGGGAAGGATTTAACTGGGACTGGTGGAAGGTCATTTGATGTAACAACAGAAGAACTTGCCAAACACAACACTGTTAACAATTGTTGGATGGCTGTGCGAGGTATGGTGGGTGTGATTTATCAGATTTTTTTAATGCATGCGAATAAATTTGAATTTTGATTTATGATAGCATGTTATTCGTTGATTCTTACTCATTTTCTCCAGTTTGTCTGCAAATTGGCCCAAAATTTAAGATGGCTGATGTTAAATATATCAGGGTACTTTTAGACATTTGTTCACATATATTGAGAAGTTAACATAAGGTTTAATTTTTCTTTCAAGGTAAAGTGTATAACATCACCCCTTACTTTGAATATCACCCAGGAGGTGTGGATGAACTGATGAAAGGAGCTGGCAAAGATGGGACACAATTGTTTGATGAGGTAAGTATAGCATGCAGTAGTATGTTTCAGTTTTCAGAATGAGAATTGTAAATGAGACAGGGTAAATGACAGTTTGTGTATATTTCTTAATTTGATATATATAAATTGTTTTAGCTGTTTTTATCAGCATGCAGTATACATTCAAGAATAGAAGTTGGTCACTTTACGAGTAGTAGAAATCCATGTTTTGTCAAATTTCAACTTGAAACGTATCTGTAATCTTTTAAGTCTTGAAAATTCACCTCTTAGTCTTTATCATTTATATATTTAAGGTCCACAAATGGGTAAACATTGAGTCTATGTTAGAGTCTTGCTACATTGGAAAATTAAAAGCAACTCCAGTGCCAGTTGAAAAATCAGGTAACTGTGTACTCATATATCATTAAAAAGAAATATAGTGAACAAAAAGTCCCATATTGTGTTTATTATTTAATGTGAATATGTATAGCTCTTTCAGGCATGGGAATAAAGATAGACTTAACTAGTATTAATTAATATTATATCTTTCAGGTTCCCCTCTTGTTAAGAAACTCTACAGTAGTCTTCTCAGTGCCAAAGGTAATTATTTTCATTATTGAGGAAGTTTCCTTTTAATTTCCAATTGGGTGAGGAAGATCTTTGAACATGTGAAAATGCTACATTATTTGAATAACAACATTATTTGAAAACTTGTGTTAAAGACTGCCAACTTCATGCATGGTATATTCATACCAGACTTAAACTTTATTTTCTTAGGACACATGCCTCCCCCTGCCCCTCCACCCATTCATATACCGGAGGAAAAACCTTCTCCAAGGTAAGAAAAATGATTCTGATACTACTGAAATGAAACAATTTTGCATGTGTGAAAAGCTGTTACTAATACTAACTTTTTCTCTATCTCAAAATTTGGATAAGATATGTGTATCACTATGTCATTTGTTCTTTTAGACTACATTTGCACTTTTGAGATAAAGAGTTTTGTTAGTTGAGAACTACAGTTTCCCATTAATGACGGCATTAAAATGTAAGATTTGTCATTGTGTATAATTATGTGCCCTCAGTAATGTGCCTTCTCTGAAACATTGCGCTAGAGAAGATAATTATCTTGATAGCACCCACTGTAGCAATGCTCTGCTGTGGCATTTGTGGAAATGTAGGCCTCAAAATGTTGCATTTAATTATTTAAAGAACGAAAATCAGTATCTTGATGAACACAGAAACTTGTAATGCAGACTGTTTTTGTAAATGGATATATGTCACACATAATATGAAAACCTAAGATAAATGAGAATGTTTTTTTTTTTTTTTTTTTTTTTTTTTTGAAAACTGGCTGCTTGCATTATCTGGTATTAAGAGCAAATTGAACATTCTGAAACAATCTTATTTTTGTTATTGATTCACTGTGAAGTTTGTTCATATTTTAAAGCAGATTCAAAGTCAGTCTGTTTTCTGATTGCATAGAAACCTCTCTGTCTGCATGACATTTAATTACCTTTGACTTGCCATATTGTGATGTTACAGATTGACTTGATCTAAAGTGTTACATTGCTGTCTGCCACTTAACAACTATAAAATTACAAATAAGACTGGTTCTTGCATACAATGTTTCTAACTTAACCATATTGTCATGTTACAGGTTGGACTGGTTCCAAAATGACAGCAGTGTTACCCTGACTATATATACCAGGTGGAATGACATCCTCAGAGAACATGTCATCATTGACAAGAAGGGACAAAAGCTGCAGGCAGCTGTTGTGGTCAAAGACATGACTTACATGGTGCATCTTGGTAGGTGGCAATGGGGAACTAGACGGAAGCCTTTCCTCTGACTTTATTCTGCTATATCAGTGATGAATTCCTCCAAATGCACCTTGAAATGTTTTTCATTTTATGTACTCAAAGAAAATTATCATTGGGTAAAAAAGTTGATATGCTCTCTTGGACTTAGCTTGAATTTTACCTTCCTATAGACTAGTTTTTCAGTTAAAATGAAAGATACAGAGATCTTCTACTTGCCATCTCATAGGAAGACTTTGGCAAAAATTGGCAGGCATCTTTTCACTCACTCAAGTCAATTTACCTGAGACCTGGCAAATTTTCCTTGCAGGGAAGGAACATTTATGTAACCCCTGATGAATTGTACTTGGCTTTCACACATTATTTTAAAACATATTTTTGTGTATGATTGAATTTCTGTCCTCCCTTATTTCTTCTTTTAAATCCATTATGTATTTTGTATGTAAATTATTATGTAACCATGTAAATTTTCCCTTTTTACTTTTTCATGGTTTCATAGATTTGGCAAATGAAGTACATGAAAAATGTGGAGGTGAGTTGTCAGTTGTTGTTTCCTATTCTATATTCTGTGCCGGTTAAGCAAATAATATATATGAACTGATACAAGACTTGCTGTTGCATTTCTCATCTTACTTTTCAGCTGAGACATGAACAATTTCTCTATTTCTCTGATCTATTAAGGAAATGAGTTTTACATAGATTTTGCATGTTCAAAGGCAAGTTAATCTTGTTTGACATTTTCAGTCTCTATGATTTAAATGTCATTTGTCAAGGGGCATGCTATATTTTATTTTATGAAATGTGTGATTTTCCCCTGTTTACCATAGTTACAAGTTATATTGGTAGATATTTACATTTTGTTTTTCACTTTTTCTTATTGAAAATGGATAGCTGTAATGTTGCAAAGGGCACTTCGCCATCACCTTTATTGAATAAGCCAATATATCACTTTGCAATAAAACAGAAATTACCATCAGTTCTTTCTTTCACTTCCAGTGCGAGTTTCTAAAGGGACAGGAAAATTAGAGATAATTCTCCGTAAGGTGGTTGAGGGCAGACGCTGGCTGGCCCTTGGGGATCCATTAGAAGGTCATAATACATACGAAGAAACAGGAAACAAAGGTTAGTGTAATGTGCCTGGCAAGTGCTTGATAATACCATTATTCAGATGATCTACTAGCAATCTGAAGAACTGAAACCAATTATACACTGGGACCCATACTGTGAAATCTCAACAGGTATATTGGTAAACAGGTGAAAAATAAACATAATAAATGATGATTTTGACTGTATTATTAACCGCATTAAAGATTAGATGAAGGGAAGAGATGTTTAGAATTCTTGAAAGAATTATATGTTTAAAATCATGCAGAATAGGATGATAAACATATGCATTACAGCATATTTATAAATGTCCACACAAAATGTGACAGCTGAATAGTTTGAGAAATCATTTTGTTTCTCTTATTTTGCCAAATATTATGGAGAATATTTGTATTACTATCAATAATTAAAATATTAATTTTTATAACATATAATGACTATTACTCTTTCAAATTCCAAATTCAAAGTTATGCTGTAGATATATACATTTTTAGGATAACAGAAGCTTAAGCCAAGTGAATGATGACTTACATTTTTTCTATTACTATGTGTAAAAAAAGTGAAACTTGTAAATTATTTACAATTTTGTCATGAATGAAACATGCCTCTGAAACTTGAGCTTGAATAACAGACAGTTAAGAAAAATAGCATGAACCGCCTTTTAAACCTCATTAAAAATGAAAAACAACAACAACTTAATACTGGTGTTGCTGTAAAAAAAAAATAAAAAAAAACAATTTCCATAAGTAAGGGTTGTACAGTAAAAGTAAATTTTATTTATTATTTGAAATTCCATTATTTGAAATAAATAAAACAAGACTTAAGCTTGAGTAAGGGGGAAATATAAGACAAAAAACATGAACTGTCTCTTAAACCTCATTACAAAAAAAAAAAAAAAAATGAAGAAAAGAAAAACAGCTAAATACTGGTGTTGCTATGAAAAAAAAAACACATTTCCTTAATAAAGGGTTGTAGAGGTCAATGTAACCACACTTGGTATAATGGTTATCAAGTTCCCAGCGGAGATTACATGGAAGTTCTTTATTGATCTAAATTGTCAATAATTAAAGCATTATTTACTAGTATTATGATTATGCTCACATTATTCTCATATTTTGCTTGTTGAATGGCACATCAGTGCCTCATAACTGCCAGCTATCACCTGCATTGGACTGGAATTCTACAAGGCTGCAAGTGCAAGAAAGGGTCGTGGAATAGATTGCATTACTTACTAAGTTGTGGTGCATTTATTTATAGCTTGTTATGAGATGACTATTGAAGTATGAACTGGAAATAGTAGCTGCATGATGTGAAATATTACAAAATTAGTATAAAGGGTGCTGAAGATAGTAAATGATTAAAAGGTTTCAGTGGATGGTTATTTCAGAATTGTTTATAAATACTTCACTGAAGAATGTGGCTTTCCTACATTTAGACTTTGGAATTTAATTAAAAGTGGTGGAACACAATAAACATTGTTCTCCCAAGACCTGCAGTCCTTAGCTCACCAGGACAATGTCAGTATGGGCTATAGTCATGGCCAAGTTATTGGTGTAGCATCAGCGATGGTAATGACATAGATATGTATTTACTATGAGAAGGTTATGGTTTTTTCCAGTTTATTTACAGTTTATTTCCAATTTTATGCTAATTAGAAAGTGTTTCTGTGGTAACATACATAGCACTAACTATAATGTGCAATGCAATTTTATACCACGTTCCTGTAAAATGTTGAAATTGACTTCGTACTTGGCTTCTCTTGTTTGATTTATTTGGTAAAGTATTTTGCTTTTTGCATATTATGAAAGATAAAAACAATAATTAGTTGCACACACTTTGGTAACTCCAGTAAATCAATTTTGGTTATCTAATCAGTTTAAGATGTTTTGAGATAATGTCCAGGATCTATCCTGGCTGTCTTTAAGTATGGGTGATTTTTCTCACATAAAAATAATATTTTCATTGGTTTAAATTAAAACTCAAATAATACCTCAAATATGCTTGTCTAAACCTCATATAAAGGACGATGCAGATGGGATCATTTGAGGGGGGGGGGGGGGCTTGATAATTAATTTATATTTTCAGGTTTTCATGTCTAAAATGTAGTGAAGAACAACCATACATCTTCTTAAACATGTTGAGTGCACAGGCTTAAGCACCCTTCAGAATTTTATACTTTTCAGCAAGCTGTATTGTACCCAGACAGTTCTTTGTGAAACAGAATTCAGCAGTACAGTCTGGTTTATAATCATAATGTTTTTTAGAATGTTGCTTTTACTAAACAAAAGCCATGGTTTAAATTTTGCAGAAGGCTAAGAGCCATAGAATTTATTTTCCAGTTTGATTAATTCCATGACATCTTGGTCTTTGAAAAAGATAAGTATACAAGGTTATAATTTGCATGAAAAACAATATATAAAGTAGATGGACCTATGTATAATGTTATACTTTCAGAGGCTGTGTTTCGAGAATGCAAAGTATTGTCCATAGAACCAGTCAGTCATGATACCCACTTGTACTGTGTTCAGCTTCCAGAGGGATGCAGAATGAGTGTTCCCATAGGTCATCATGTACATATTAAAGCTAATATAGAAGGTGAGGTATTGAGCATAGGTACCCGGTGAGATTTATGAATTCTGCACATTTTTTTCATCTTGTGCACAACTGAGGATCGGTTTTATCTAACTCTGTAGGTGTTTGTTGATGTCTGTGGTAAAATTTGATTTCTAAATTATTGACATGGTGGGGGAATGTTTGTCTCCAGTTAAGACTTTTATCATATAAATGAATTAACCTACTTCATTTAGCATCTCTTTGTTAAAGTGATTTGATTATTATTATTTATGTGAAGTTTTTATTGACTGATATATCAGCATGAATAAAAGTGACATCATGTGTGTTTGGGTCCAGAAAACACATTAAAATGCAATATTTGAATAACTAGAGCAGGCAAAGAGAATTTTTATATCAGTGAGATGTGTGTAAGTTAAAGGCCACACAACGAGTGCAAGACTACTAGACATTTATACATAAAAATTAAGTTTTCCTGTAAATTTTTACACTTGGTCTCTTAATCACTAGTGTGTAGCATATCCAGAACCATTCTCAGAATTATGATCTATAAACCCGTTTCTGAGTACTTAGTTTTAAGTAACCCTTTTAATGGAAAAAGGATTATGGATTTCACTGGTTATGGTAAAAGGCTGTAAGTTTATGCCTGTTTTGCATGCACTTTTATCTTACTTACATTCAGCCCATCTGTCTGACTCTCTGTCTGTGTATATATATTTGTGTGTTGCTTTGTTGAAGGCATGTCCATAGTCAGAAGCTACACCCCAGTGACAGCCTCATTGCAGTATAAAGTGCCTCCACAGTTAGAAGACATACAGGATGAAATAATTTACTTAATGATAAAGATTTATCCAGGTGGAGCTTTGACACCAGCCATTGACAGATTGGTAGAAGGTGAGTGTAACCCATGTGTTGGAAAGTGGAAACAAAATGCATGATTGTCAGCCATGGGGAAAATACTTGTTTTAATTTTGATAACCCCAGGTTTGATTAGCTACATCCTAATGACACAGCATATTTTATTTGATTATTTCAGTAGTGATGATGATGATTATTATTAATATAATCTTTTGGAAGTTAATTAAACAAAAATATTTTGTCAAATTTGCAGGGTCCAAAGTATTAGTTTCTAACTATGAAGGAAACTATCAAGAATCTCACATGCGGGATTGCTCACACTTGATATTATTAGCAGCAGGGACAGGCTTCACACCCATGGTCAAGATAATTTATAAAAATTTGATAGAAGAGTGGGAAGGATCCAGGTTAGTGTTCACACATGCATTTGGAAGTGTTTTCCTTTTTCACATTTGACAAGTTCAGTCTGGGAATATGTAGAAAAAATGTGCAGTTGAAAAATCAAAGTGGCCTCCAAATCCAATATGGCCACCTGAAAGATATGACTCCTTTTCCTTTATTTAGACAATCATTGTCAAATATTTTTCTTGTTGAATAGAACATCTGAAGAGTACAGATAAGTGTTACGAAGTGGTGTCTTATGGGTTTAGAAATTAACTGACATTTTTCATATTTCAGAACTGATTTAGACAAAAATAGACTAAACTGCCCCTTTTGAAGTTACTATTTGACCAGATTTCTCATAGTGGCACTTGGTTTCAAAAGAGGTTCTTTCATATGATGAAATATTGATTACCAGATGATGCAGCTCATTTTCTTTCTTGTCTAAGTTAGTGTTGCAGTATAAAACCTGCCTTCCATTTTAAATGACAAGTCATTTACATTTAATCTGTTATTATAGACCGGTTAGCTACACTTACCTGTCTATACAGTACTGTTGTTTAAAGATGAGTTCTTCTTTTTTACAGGCAAATAAAACTGGTGTTTTTCAATAAAACAGAAAAAGATATTTTATGGAGGAACCAGTTGGAACTACTAGCACAGGAAAACCCAAGGTTTGTTCAATTCCTGTTCCTGTTTTTATTTTCATTTTTTCTTTGAAAAAAAATTTTATTCTTTTGATACATGAAAAAAATTGAAAGTCCAGCTGCTTCAATTTAATGCTCAGGGCTTTTGAATGAAAAGTTGTGATATTTCCACCTTAAACTCAAAAGAAGTAGTGTATTGTTGATAACTTTTTTAGCTGGGTGTTAATCTTATTGTGATTTAGGCAAGATAATAATCTTTACTTTCTTTGCCAAAAATTACCAAGTTTGACAATGGTAAGTCAGTTTATGTAAAAAAAATAAATAAAAATGCCTTTTTTGCCAGATTTGGGGTGTTCCACATTCTCTCAGAAGCAGACGACAATTGGGATGGACTAAGGGGGCGAATTAGAAAGGAGATCTTAGAAAGTTTTATTCCCCCTATTGGAGAAGGAAAGAAAGTGATGATCTGTGCTTGTGGCCCTTCACCCTTTACTGAAGAAGCAATAAGGTATGCTGATATCTTAATTGCCTGTACTTTTTACCCCAAGTTAATGTTTTTTTTGGTAGATTTGATAAGATTCAGGGTTGTAACATATCACCACACTGATAGTTTTGCTCTTAATTTCCTGTGTTTGAGTTATGATGGTAACTGTTATTAATTGCATCACTTTTTTTCCTCTATCAGATTGGTTCAAGAAATGGGATATTCCTTGAGCAGGATCCATCCATTTATGGGTTAATTGAAGAGACGGAGATTGAACAGGTCTCTGCTCACCTGCACAGTGCACATGTGAAACTGTCTTCGAATGGGCAATTTAAATTAAATGTGACTATTATTCTGTTAAATTCACACCGTTGAACGTTTGTAATCATTTCCCTTGTTTTCAACTGTGTATCATTCTTTAAGCACTGCAATGCAAGTCAACTATCAGAGTTTTTTGTGTTATGAACTCGTAATCAGCTTTAAAATTTCAAGTAAACATGTGCTAAGTTATTTATAAATTGAAACATTAATTGCATTAGATGAGGCAATCAATTTCTTCTTTTATTGTCTAAAATAAAGAGACACCGCTTGATTCATACTAATTGTGCACAAACTTTGTTATGTATAATGTGTCATTATATTTATACGTGTACTAGTATTTAAATGAACAGGTCAGACTAGTATTTAAATGAACAGGTCAGTTTTCTCATATTTTTAACCCGTCAAAGTTCTGTTTTAAATAATTTTTGCAGTAATTTATCTCTATGTGGCATGTAGAAGTATATCTGTTGTTGCGATATAAGCATTGCAGCATTTTTATGAATCAAGAATTCAAATAAAAGAGTTGAACTTGTACACATGGTTTAGAATGACAACTTGTTTTAAACAGGAATCGGTCCAAAAGATGATGTCGTGTAAAGGAAGACGTATTCGCTGTTTATGAAGTCGGGCACTCAACGTTCAAAGCTGGGAAATATTTTCGATGTTAACTAGAATGTGCGTGTTTATGCTTAAGTGGAGCAACGGGAATAACTTTTCTGTCTGTATTTTTCCAGCTTGTCTAGTATTAAATCTGAATTCATCATAAGTTATTGTTTGTTTTACAGTTAGTAAATTCGCTATTTAGTGCAAAGGATGTTTCATGAATGAAAAGGGCCTTGTGTGAGAGGCAATACGAGCCAAGGAAAATATTTTAAACAACACTCCCCTTGCACTGTCTCTATAATGTAGTTATCTGCTCTTGTTGTCGGGGTAGGGCAATTTGATAATGTATTTTTCATTATCTATTTCTGTGAAGATGTTGGTAATCATACACATAATTTAGTGAAAAATCAACAGTCACTTAATGTATGTAACGGTATTTGTAAGTTGTGATGCTGAAATCTTCCTGAAACTGAAACTAAGATGGGGTAGTTCTGAAATTAGCGTGCGTCAGATAAAGCAATCCGTTAATAATTGACTTTATTTGTTGTCCTTCCGTTACTTTAAGGTGCTTTTATGTCCCGCAATTTTAAACAGGGCACTTCTTTATCTGTAAACAAAACGATAAAGGAAGTGAATCTGAAATGTTTGTCATCAGTCGGGGGTTATCACTTACAAAAGTTATAGTTTATATTGTGCTGTGGGACAAAACGTCTTCATGAATAGATATTTTGGCCAAAAACTATTTTGCATTTCTTCATTGACACCTTCGGTGTTATGCAGATCTGATATTTATGTTTTTATGTTGCACGTAAAGTATGATAAATAAAATTTTAAGAAAAATGAAAGTATTCGTCTCTTATTTCGTTACCCGCACTGCTGTCATTTCAGGATTAAATTGACTTCCATTGCGATATTAACTAATAACAACTTGACACTGCCTGTGTTGGCTTCCATACAACATCTTGATGAGAAATTACGCACTAAAATAATTCGTTTAAGGTGGTTTTTGGGATGACCGCAAAAAAGCATTTTAAAAATTATTATTTGTCACTTTGTTGCCCTCACTTCGTCACACCAGTGGGGTATAAGAAAAGCACAAGCCATTGATTTTGATACCAGAGGAACTGAAATCAGAGGGAATGTCAAAACAAAGGCCCTTAACAGTACAAAAAATCGAATTTCCTTAATGAAAATGTTTCCTAATGTACAGCCCCTCCCCCTACACACATCAATCAAACTCCTCAAAATAGCCTTTACGTTTACTTCTGCAATCTATCCTTTTTTGATTGTGGCTTTTATAAACAGGGATTGTCGGTGTAACATTTTGTCCAATCTCTAAAAAACAATCATTTCATATCGATCTCATGAAAGGGTATCACTCCCATCAAATGCGTGTAATTACATTGTAAGTCTCATGTGCCAGTGTGTCGACGAGTGCCCTTTAATTGCATTCCGTTTTCATTCAGTGGTTCAATGTACAGGAACCTTGTAAAACGGCAGGTCTTAAGAGTTCATCATCATTGTTGGCAAGCCCAAATACCATAATTTGTACAATGTTTTATCACTATAAACGATTAAGTTTTGACATTCACATTTCAGTTGGTTGCGCTATACTACTATCTGTGGCGTTAAATGCCTATCACAGCACAACGGATTGACGCTTGCTGGTCCTCTCGCACGATTGCATGTTCGCTACTTAACGTGTAAAATTGACAAAAGCCAGTCATTAGTACAGGGTCTTGTAAGAGTTCACTTTCGATAGGATTAGTACAAACAAAAATCTGTAGTAGAAGTAGATATAAACAGTTGTAATTGCTTTTATTCACTATAAGTTTGTTAAATCACTGGACCAAATTGATCGGTTTAACGAGTTGGAAAGAAGGAAGTGCAATTTTTCTAAAACTACTTTGACTGATGTTAATGGGAACTGAATAATTTATGTCAGCGAATGTAATAATCTACTTTGACGGATAGATGTATAAAAAATCATCCCATGTTATTTAAGAAATCCCCATTTTACCTATTTATGTTTTTGACCAGATTTTTCTAAGCATTACCTGTGTTGGACACAACAAGCCAATTATCTATTTAATTCTATGTACGCTGTGGTGTCAGAAAAGCGGTTGAATTACCGTTCACCTTTCGGTGTGTCTCGCACAAGAGCATGATGGACCACAGAACACGCCTGGTTCGTTGAAATCACTATTACATTTTGTTCAATCTAGCATTCGCTGATTGTACAAAAAGTCATTATAACTGAGTAGTTTACGTAATTGTATTATTTGTGAGCACTAGAATATGGCATGTTACACAGCATTAAATACCTAATAATGTAATTCATGAAAAAATAAATAATTATGAAAATACTTAGTATCATCGTCCTCTTCCGTGTGAAATAGAAGTACTCCTTTCAAATAGGAGGCTATCTCTTCTAGACTCCAAGACAAACGTTTCGATGTCTCTTTTACAAGACTGGTACTTCAAAACACGTTTTCTGGAAAAAACTGTACATGGCTATTTGCATTAAGTTCCCATCTTAACTTCCAGGAGACGTATCCACGTTCCACGCCAACTATAAAGTAGTTTTGTAGCAAATAAGTCATCTTCATTAAACTTGGAAAAAAGTAGGAATGCTTCTCAGTTTCTTCAATTGAATTATGGTGTAATCTGCACTGGGATGTGGATTAGATGAGGGATGTAGCAGAGACGGAAATCTCACGAATATTCTCCACTGACTGGCATAGATAATTTTCGGAAATCGCTGTGTCCCAGATAACGATGAGTAACTAGCCCGTTGTTTGCCAGGTTCCGTGGTTAGCCGAGGACAGCGGTTTCAGAAAGATACAATGCCAGTTGTTGAAACCATCGCACACGAAACTGCCTGGTACTACGGATTCCATTTCCTCTGCAACATCTGAAACTTTGAAAAAAAAAATGTCATAGTCTAAATTCTGATAAAATGTATACAGGGTTTGTGTTATGTCATGTTGGGCAAGGACCAAGCACTATACGGTGTAAATCAAGTTATATACATGTATTCCCTGGGTAATCTTCTTTAAACTTATTTTTTCGGCATTGGAATAAAAAAAACACCTTTCCATGGTTGGTCGCAGAAGACAGGTTTTTCAGATTAAGACTGAAAGGAGCAGCTCAAAGATATACTCCTGTCGTTAGACAGCCGGGAACTGGGATGTAGGCCTACTGACATACAAATCAACCAGAAGAACGAAAGAAAATGTATCATTGTTCGTTCTACAGTCTCATGCTTTGTTGTGTATTTTACTAACTTTGATACATAAGTGATCTTCATTTCCTGCGGTTGAAGATAAGATATCGTTGTTGAAGGAAATTATTGATCCCCCCCCCCCAATTCACCGGTAATAATAGAGATCAATGAAGCGCTCGCCCCTATCATCTTAGACATTATTCAGTCGCTGTACAGCGGTCACGCGGTCCATCAATTATACACCAGTTCTACCTGACCTGCTGCTCAATTTGACACAAATGTTGACGAATAGCATCTATTTGGATTACATTTACAGCAAACGTAGATTCAACCAGTCACATATGATTTCCGTGAAGATTTAGCCAATTATAACGAAAAAAATAGAACCTTTTCCTCTGTTTCTCTCTCGGGTAATAACGGCGATCATTTAAATACCTTAAGTTTTTTCTCTGATTTCTTTTTACATTATGTTTTTTAAATCCAGTTAATACGTCGATGTGAAATATTCAAGGGCCTCTTTCAGTCAAATTGACTTTCGGTAAATTGCTTATGCTGGGTTGGCAGGACTGTCAGTCATAGCAAAAGTTTATGTTAAGTGAGTGTGCCTGCGTGTGTGGGTAACTGTTTAGAGAACTATAAGCGACGTGGGGAGAGGGTAGGGGATTTCCCTTAGCGCCTTCCTTATGACTACTTCGTGATTGAAAAAATAAAACTGAGGGTGGGGGAGGGGGGACTTCTATGTCTGTTAAGACGCAAGACGCGATAAGACTAGTGACAATGCTACTAGGCTTTAGCACCTTCTTCTACCTCTTAGTGCCTATTATTGACAGAGGATACAGCATATAACAGATCTTTGAAGATTATTATTAATATGAGCCGTCAGGAGAACAAATCAGCGATCTTCCGCTCCGGAGACGAGCACTTAACCATTAAGCCATCCGGTTGATAAACTAATTACGTAGCCATTAACTAATAAATTATGATACACATCAAGTAAGCATGACCTAAAAAAATGAGAAATACATACGTCAATCCAAAATCGAACAACAGCAAATCTTCTCCATTTGTGGCACTTCATATTTCATACAACTGTTTACACTGATTAACTTATCCTGAATAAATGCGAGAAATTGCCAAGTTGACGAATTATAAATAAACCGTTTGTATCTAAACTTAGAACCGTAGTAATCGGAAACACCAAGAAACAAATTGCTTTCTTGCATGTTCTTATTCCTTCAGGTACTATTCCTAGTAAGTAGTGGAAAACATTAAAATGCTGTAACACCTACAGATTTTGTCAGGGTAAGCTTTATCCTTTCTAGATATAAGATATTCTTTCTAGATATAACAGCACAATCATGAAAACGTGTTGTATAACATAGACATCATCGGTTTGTTTGCAAAGGCGGCAACGGAGAGCCATCAACCACAAGGGACTTTTCATAGCCAAAATTATGTTAGCAAGTTTCGATACGCGAATGATGACTATATAACACGGAGAAAACCAAAGGGTTGGTCATGTCAACATCAAATTGAACCACAAACAGTTTGCTGAACAGGATTACAGGTCTACGATGCAAGAGATCTGTTGGGAGTTGGGGTGATCCCGGCGATAACACTGTAGGAATTTGCTAGAGCAGTATAACGTTGTCATTCACGTTTTTGTTCTTACTCTACATTTTGGTCGACTTTCGACTTGTAGAAAGAGATAATAATTAAGGTGCCATGTCTAAAGGGCTGTCAAGGCTCCTTAATGTGCCTTTTAAATATCCACCAATCCATATCATATCGACAAAATTAACAGTCTCCCCAGAAGACCAGAGCTTTGAGATCACCTACACTCGTACATTGTCCCAAGTTTACACGTTTGAGGCGTTAAAGTCCCAGCCAACACTTGACACAAGACTAAGGCTTCGTTCACATGCAATGTCTATTTTCTAAATTCTATTTTCTATTCGCGCTATCTTATGATCACGGTCTGTGCCCTGAATATCCCGCCGCGTAATAACTGGCAGCGCGAGCCAGTTACTGTAAGTTACTATAAGTAACTGGCTCGCGCTGCCAGTTATTACGCGGCGGGATATTCAGGGCACAGACCGTGATCATAAGATAGCGCGAATAGAAAACAGAATTTAGAAAATAGACATTGCATGTGAACGAAGCCTAATTATACACTTGCAGTGTATAACTCAAAACATCACATCATAATATCATAAAATCATTCCATCCATTTTGTCCTACGATACACGCATGGATTTAAAGCTTTTGTTCAACTAAAGCCCATTCCCATAGGTCGCGTTCAGAACAGATGATCGGCGGACTAACTGATCCGGGAACTAAATATGGCCGACCCCACTTAAAAACAAGCTACCTAATTCCCTGATGGTCTCCCCGCTTCCACACGCGCCCTCAAACGGATTAAATATCGACTTCGAGGTTCAATTGCTAGGCCCTGCAGCGACAGCGCGTGTGGAGCCCGGGAGACCATCAGATGATAAGTCGACATTGCTTTTAAGTGGGTCGGCCATATTTGATCCGCGGATGAACTTGTTCTGATTGCGCTCATAGACTGGGTTCCCATACTTAGATCTTTCCATCTGGATCGACCTAACTCCCTGGGGGTTCACGCTAAATTGCTATCAGCTCAAAGGACTTAAATGTCTGTCACGCCTACCGAATCAGCTAGGGGTAAAGATAATTACCCCCTGCCAGTTTTACTAGGCGTGACAGACGTTTAAGCCCGTTAGTTTGTTAGCAATTTAGTGAGACTCCTCAGGGAGATAGATCGACCCAAATATATGTGGGAATGGTCCCATAGACACCCCTCTCTACGTAGATTGATCCAACTCCGCGGGGACTCTCGCTGAATGCACTCAGAGATTAATACGCCTCCTGGGGCCAAGTAGAATACAGAAAGGCTGGTGATTAAGCTGAGTTGGAAACAGGAGGAGGCGTGTCATTCAATTAAGCCGATTGCACACAGCGAGAGTCCCCGCAGAGCTGGATCAATCTTTGCAGACTGATGGTGTTTATGGGAATGGGGTCTAAAACGCTTTCAGCAACACATGGGTACACACACAGGTTAACAATGCTGAGGACAAATTTGTGAATGACAACAACATACTGAGATTAATGATTTGCGACAGGCAAGAATGCCGACAGATCTGTGGACAGCTCCCCTTGCTCGTCAAGTTGTTTTTGGGTTAATTACACAATCAAAGACATGCCTTTAAATTTCTTTAACTGTCTTTATCGTAAAAACAATTTCACTTATCGTAGTTTAAAAAGGCGCCAAAGTATTTTAAGTCCCTTATTTTCTCCTGTGAAAAGAAAGATCAAGTGAAAAGTGGAGGCAGCAGAGTCAAAGTTCACAAGGTTTCATGATTGTGCTATCACTGCCAGAGAGCTGTACACTTACCAGTCTTCTTAGCGTGGTTCTTTTTAGTTGAAAATAGATCTCTGTTAGATTGATTCTGTTGTGGTTATCTTTTAAATTTCCGTCGAACATTTTTTCGGGAGTTAGGTGTGAATTGCTTTGGAGCGGTAACAGGGGGAGTCTGGTTGTTCTATACTCTGCTTGTCTGTCATGCTGATGCTTTGATAGCGATTTTGAATTTATTTTGTCCGAGTTCAAAAAATCCATACGTTCAGTTCTTGTCGCTTTCAAGATTTTCTTAAGAATTCCTATTTCTGCTAAGTTCAGCTGTTTTGCAAGGAGTTCATTGTGATGTGGTCGTGGCTCGGGCTGAGTCCGTTTGCCGTTCCCTATAAATATGACATTAAGCATTAAAATGTTACATCAAATCACGTTTTTAATATTATCTTGTTTAAGTGTGTGTGTGTGTGTGTGTGTGTGTGTGTGTGTGTGTGTGTGTGAGAGAGAGAGATAGAGAGAGAGAGAGAGCAAAGTGTATAAGCATGATAGACAGAAGTGTTTTTACCTCCAAAACAACCATGGACTCTCCAAGGCCCTTTACATTTGTCTGAAAAAGATAACACAAAATGAGCATCAATACGGGTTTTAGGTCATGAGTCGTGCAGGTGCTTAGGAAATCAAATTGGAAGTCATTTCTGAGCTTTTGCACAAAAATTTTACGTACTCCAAAGTTGAACGAATGTAAACAAAGTGATCTTCAAGACAAAATTTTAGACTTTTCATTCTTGGACTAAATGATAGTTTTAAACCGAATCTTTTCAGTGGCAAAGTGTGAAAGATAAGCGAAGGGTGCATAGCAGTGTCTGCCTTCAAACAGTGAAGTGATTGTTTTGCTAGTTAGTGAGACCAACAAGGCGTGATTCTTCGCAAAGTCGCTGGAAGAAGTGCCCGTGTCGTGATTTGCCTGTGACGTTAATGTCAGTCAAACTGCATTAGCTTGCTTTAATATAATACAATATGCTACAGCAAATAATGAAGCCAGGAAGCAGAGAACGTGATAACAGTTATCGTGTGTCATGAACAAAACAGGGCGTTTACCAGATAGAAATATAATTTATCAGACGAACGCCGGATATGAATAACCTGGGACACCCTTAATCTTACCAACTGTGCCGTAATCGTTCAATAGTGTTTGTGCATATGAAGTGAATGTATCAATATTTGAAAGCGTGATCATTGCGTCGTGTCTTTCAAACTCGATTCTTTATGTTTCAACAAAAGACTGTTGTGAGTCTCAAGTGATCTTGCAAAGCCCAATGTGTGTTTACAAAGTGAGAAAGACAAGATTAATCCATTGGAGAGAAGCATTTAAACTCATGTGAATATCAGTAGTGAGACGGTTCATTCCATGCACTCTTTTTCCATACTTACCTAGTTCTGGAGGAAGAATACCCCTCGCTATAAGCTGATCTAATGTAACTGAGTGTAAAATGTATTTTTCATTAATGAATTGCACATTGATGATGGTATTGATATAATGCGGTAAAAGCACCTTTCATACTGAATTGTCAATGTGGACATGTTATTGTGACTTTCTTCTACTAAGAAAATTAACTTGTCTTTCTAAAAGTCCAACACGCAGACTGCCATTTACACATTGCCAAGTGACAGGTGTCTGCGCCTTCATTCCTCCCACATAACGGCATTTCCAAGAATATTTGATCAGATTAATCCCTTATTTCTTGCGTAAATTACATTAAAGAAGAACTAACGCTCTATCATAACGCGCCTTTTGTTTATCGCACATACAAAAAGTGTTGTATTACAATCTTGCATTTATCATCATTAATAACTGGGAGATCTATTAATATGAGAGGGCTTTAATCAAGAGGTTAATTTTTGTGGTTTGAATCCATGCCCAGATTGAGAAAATCGTTTCTTTGTTCCTGACGTACGTGTCTATCATGCATCTTTTATGCCCATCCTGTTACCTACTCACTCCTTTCCTATGACGCAGATTTTAAATATTTTTTCGTCACTATTCTATTTTTATGTTCCATTTGCTCCTGCATATAGACGTGTTACAAGTGACAGTTAGCCATATAGTGCCAGTAAACAGTAGACTGAGCACTGAATCTGTATCCATCATTTTTATCTGCTATAAAATGATTTCGATTTCTAAGTTGATAGGAACTAGGTATTTGCCATTTACCAAAGTTTAGTAAATTTTCTTCTCACTTGTACAAAAACAATTGCATTGATGTGTTTTAATAAATGGTTAAAATTGTAGGGGTGATTCTGGCCGGTAGCAAACTTTCTAAGCGTTGGGATATGTTTTCGTCATTGTAGTATTAAAATTCCACATACCAGTTCATTTTAATTCTATTTTCTTTCGCTAAAGCTTGGTACACAGAAACGTTTATATTCTAATCTATTTTATCGACCAGTTTTTCCTCCCCCACTTACAATAACTATGACACGGCAATCCGTTTACCTGCTGTTGGGTCTTTATTTTGGCATTGATTTTCTGAAATGAGAGACTAGTATTCTTGTGCTTATCTTACAATTTCTAATATGCAAACCATAATATACAACAAATTAGAAAAAGATGCCAGAGCTAGATAAACAAAACGAAAAGTTGAATAAGTATATCAGCAGCCATATGCTCAAAATGTCCTTTTTTAACATAACACACAACAAAGCTAACCTTAGTCATTTTAGGAGTAGATAATTTTATTTAACATATTTCAATTGGTTTTATAAATACTATCTATTACGCTGTTTGGCAATCGCAAACTCTACCAATCTAGTTGATTAATTTTCGTACAAGGCCATTGAAACGCCCACACTCAAAGGTAAATATAGATCTAATTTTAAGTGTTTCCCGTATTCAATCGACAGCTTTACAGCACAGTTAAGATGAAATGAAAAGAAAACCAAACACTACAGATAAAAATCAAAGTTTTGTCACTACAGTACAATAGATTGTCCTGAGCAATAAAGATTAATAGTTGAGAACTGATTTTTTAAAAATTCTCTTTGTCGCGAAGCCGTACTTGAGAGACTACTCTTAAAGTGGCAGCTGTCGGTTTTGTAAATTGTAGATAGGAAAAAATGTGGAATATCAAGCAGTTTATCCTGTTATTATTGTTTGATGATTCTGCAAATATACATACTTTTGAGTTGAAGCAAACTAGTAGGCCTAGTTTACCCTCCCTCCTGTTAAAATAACGTTGCACAATTTTAAGCGAGCATATTTTTTATACATTTTCTCTTTTAGCTTTTATAAGAGCCTAAATACACAATGACAAATCAGTGCTTCTGTTAATTATTTATTTGTTTATTTATTTATTTTAGAAGTAACTGTTTGTATCGGTTCCATCAAATTACATTATGCCACTTTGAGACTTGGAAGGGAAACGCTCGCTCCAGAGAGCGGTAAATAGATAGTTTTCAATGAATAAACCCGGACCTATGTGAAGATGACCAAACACTAAAATACGCTGTAATTCATCCAGCCATTACAATAATAAAAAATAACAGGTTTTCCTTTTTATGCTCAATAACCTTCTTTTAACGTGTGCATGGACCGAGACAGGTGAGCCTAAATACATTCCAGGTACTCGGGAGATAATTTCGAATGCAGACGTAAAAGAAATTGGGGATTACTATTTCCAACATATTTTTCGCAAAAATAGACACAGATAATTTAACTAGCCGAAAGTGACATGACGTGTGAGAGCTGTCTCATCGGATTCCTTTCAAACCCGAAATGTGTCAAAACAATAATGGTCTCTGTTTACTTGAGTCTTTTATTTTCTGAGGAAAACGCATCGATAGATAAAATTCAATCAAATAAGCACGGATATTGTTTAAGTACACTTTTCGTTTTAACGGGTGCATCACCTTTATTGCCAAACCAATTTAAGTCACGGTTTACCGAAACAAAACAAGCATTTATCTTGGCTCAATTAGACGGGTGCTTCTCCCTTCGGGACAAAGGAGGACTGGCCTCGATTGCAAAAGACAAACTTGATAACCAAGTGCGAGTATACAACACCTGTGCAGTGTAGTAATTTTCAATAATTGCCCATCAAGGTAGACTCACCGTGAACCTCACTCAATTACCAATCAGTACTATTTAATTAATGCCCCCGGAAACAGCTGCTGGTGTTGCTTTTTTCTGCATCAGACAATGATATCAAAGTGGCTAGAAAAATGATGTATTTTCTGTAAACAAGACACACCTACAATCCCGGAGTGTGCACAATGCTGGTGTGCCATCATTAGACATACTTTCATAAGAAACAAAAAGTCTATAGGTTATTGCAGTATGACACTCAGATTCTCTCATTATTTTTGCATTAATGAAAACAGGTGTTGATCTAACCGACCGTGAACAACTCAGAATAGTTATGTATAGGTTTATTCAAAGGCCCTTTATCTATCAACCCAGTCGTCCGTTCATATAGGCCATTTTCTCTTTTAAAATTACTGCAATAAATAGTGCCGATGTAACTGGAATAGTATATATTTGTTTACAGACAGGATGAAAATATCACCGTCTGGCAAAAAAACCTAACCTATTAATCGTAGCGGTAATGCTCGCCAATACATTCGAGAGGAATAAAATGACATTTTAGCCGAGGTATATTTAGTCAAGCAACAAAAATATGATTTTCAAAAAAAAAAAAAAAAAAAAAAAATGCTAGGCTCTGGTTTTAAAGCATTGATTATGTTTATCTGTTTTCAAATATAATTGCCGATTCATTGGTTTAATTCTAATATTTCTCTGGCTGGAGTTCAAACGTGTGAGCACCAGTCAAATTTGCTCGTACATGATGCATACAAACTCATGGGCCTATTTTAATATATGTAGTTACGTGTTTATCAGATGGATCTAAAAGTAAAAAAGCAAAAAACTTAATCTTTTCTAAATGATTAACAATTAAAGATCGAATTTACTTACTGGCATCGGTTTTATGTGATAAGAGACATGCAAGCACCACCGCAAGGGGTATCACTACCCAAGGATCCAGGCGTATTCTCATAGTTCACTGTTCATACACCGCTAACAGTCACAAAAGGAAGCTAGGATATACCCTTTCGTCGTCTTCGGTATATCCTCTTTGGCTAACTACAGAGATGTGATTTCAGACGTTAACGCCAATTGTCAATTTAAAAACTTTCAGCGAAAACTTAGAAATAGTTGTATCTCCCTATTGCTGTAGGTCTCACTTGAAACTTTAAGTTCTGTTAAGCTGTGTCGTGATTGGCGTGGTGCTGGTTCCCTTCAGAGTCCCTCTTGAACAATGTGCACCTGCGTTAATGTGGCCAGTTAGCTTTATATGCACGCTGACCATAATCTGTGTTCCCGTGGTATCGCGATGACTGAGTAGTGAAAGACAAAATCAATTGTTCCTTTACGCCTCCATGTAATTGGGGTCCTTTGGGAATCAATTCAACCACGTTTTCCAATCACCTGCCAGGCCTTGATCAAGGGTGTTCCCAAGTCACGACACCTGGTATCAAACACTGTGGACAAGATGGGCACAGAAGAGGTGCGGTTACGGTCTGATTTCCCTAATCTCAGAGTCGGCTAGAATTTCACTAGCGATTCTAGGGAGATTTCTGGAAATATACGGTTGCTACTTTAGATCAACACTGATTGGCTGTTATGATTAGTGACGCAATCGTATGTACCGGTACCTGTCAGATACAAGCAAGTGCCCTAGGCGTCGCTCTGTCAGAAGTGGCCAAACGACAAATATCGGGACACAAATCCGAGCATTTTTTTTATTGAAATGTATATTTGCTTGAAAAGGTTCTCTAACAAATGTATCATACAAAGAGAAGGAAATATTTAATCAGTATCTGATTTTTTCCTCATCAAGTTGTTAGCTGGACATTTCAAATATTCCTGTATGTTGTAAATAGTTATTTTCCCCACTGTTTACCTTTAAATTATTGCACCTTATCGTCAAATTCCGGTAAAGTAGATATGATTATTGATCAAAAACTGTGCTACCAGTGCATTTTACTTCATATCAACCAAACAACAATAATATTCAGCTAGGAGTATCAAAAAAAGATAACCCGAAACCGACACCGTGGTGTTTAATGCTCAGTTAGTCGACCGAATCTAAAACTTTTGCCGAGTAAGAAGGATAGCTGCTTTTACGGTATTCATTTTTTTCTGCGTACTAGAGAAATGTTTATTTTTAACCGAATGATATACCAGTGTCAGTGCTGTACATCAAAGCTGAACACCTTGCCACTCTGTAATATGCAACCAATTTTCACCGGTGATTCACAATTTGTCGTTCAAAACGGCACTGTACAAATATGATATTCTTATGGAAATTGAGAAAATGGGGAACAGTAACTTAAATCAATTGAAAATTAATAGGGGTGCAATTTTTGTGTTCATCTTTTTTTAACTTTCGTAATTACTTTGTCAACTTAACACCCACGTTATGCAATATTTTAATTGAATCTTATTGCAATGATAGGGTAATCTCTGAGGACACACCAAAGAGTCATTAAGGTCTTCATTTCGTCCCACAGTTTATCACTTCACGGAAATTCTCATTTTTGGCAATGTGTAAGAAGCCTGAATCTAAGTGAGTCTATGCACGATCTTGAAATGCAGAAGTGCCAATTTTAGTGTCGAGATAATACTGCATAGCACGGTAATCATCATTTATCATGAACGTTGAGGAAGGCGTGAGAAGAGACCAGTGGGCATGCATTAAGTTATGTTGCCTCACAATGAACCCTAAAAATTTGAACGTTTTTTGAGGTGTGCATAAGACAAAATGAAAAAAATTTTTTTTCAGATTAAGAAACTTCGCAATATGCGGCTAATGCCATATTTGATCTCCATATTATAACACCAAAATTGTCTGGACTTTTGTAAAACGTTATCGACGGGACATCTCTTAGACTTAAAATGAAGTTGACAGACGCCCCCAGAGACACCGACTGGTGTGTTACCTGTGGTCAACCACCGATAAATGTTCACGTAGAACGCCCGCCATCATTCCTATATCACCTGACACATGGTTATCAAAAAACAATAATTACATTTTCGAAGCGCTATATTTCTGTCTATGTGTATTTCCGGCATTATGGAGAACCGATAAAAGTATTTGACACCAGCCGTGCAGAGATCTTGGGTGACTGACCAAGCCTGCAGATGCATTTATGATAGCAGAGGAGATACGTAAATAGATCGAACGTTTATAGAAAATATGCATGAATATTTAATGTTTGTCCGCAGACGTTATTTTGAGTGAAAAGTACACTGTCTTTTGAAGTACAGGGAATTTACAAAAATTTATCAAAAATGTTATAAATAATATACATTTCTTCAGAAAAAATCTCAATGAATCAACTGAAACATTTCAATCTTTAATTCAGATAAGTATGAATTTCAGTAATTCCCCTTTAGATTTTTAAAGTTTTTTTTTCAATCGCCCACCAAGGAACTTGTAAAAAAAAATCGCCAACTGGATATTTACATACTCAATATTTCACCTGGTAATGCCAAAATAATTGTCCGGAATCTCTACACTCCCACACTCCCAAAATGCTATCAAAACCTTCAATGAAGCAGACTGTGGCCTACACTGACATCAAACAACTAAGCGTTCGCTGATAACACATCTTTACGTAGAAAATGCACATGTTGAATAAAAAAGGTAGCTTATAAAAGGTTTCTTTTTTTCCAAATGGAGATCTTATTTATTTTCTGGAATTTGTTTAATTGACCAGGTGACCGTTGATCGATCGAGCATTTTGCTCCACGCGCACCAGCACATAACCGCAATTGATCGGAAGACATATGTGTGCCAGAGGATCAGTAAGTGCATTCTATCACCTCAGTAATCCGACATTACCTCATATATATATATATATATATATATATATAAAAACAATGGAACCAGTTAGCATTCTTACCAAGGAATCCGGCTGATACCCGTCACTGTTATTAACGAGTCTTTCAGTGTATAACTTACTTCGCTTAAAACTCCTCGGCTAATTCCGTCAGGTCGGGTCATCTTGTTGATAAGATATAGAATCACCCAACGCTGTCCGCTTGATCAATATTTCATCTAAGATACTGAGACTTTCTAACAAATTAAACAAAGAAAAAGGTGCCGTCCAGCACGCATAATATGGAACTCTAAATTGCTTAACCGGCACGCCAACTAGTTCATAGCACACACACGGAATTAGTTCGCATCATAATAGGAAAAAAGAAAAAACAGAGAAAAATAAACGTAAAACTGAATCTTAACAATGACCACACGTGCAAATAGGACACGTGCATGCACGCCTACATGTACAAGACAAGGCGAGACCAACTTTCTTACACACTGTACAACACAGCGCGTCAGATCCAGATCCGTGAGATCCAGGCCTAGTAAACTAAACTGAAGGAAAGCTTGACCCTGCCAAGATCCTTGATAACACAATAAATCCTCGCCACAATACCCAAGAGCTAAATTTGAACCATGCCGCATCATGATATGCCATGCCGGGCTACCCAAATCACCTGACCAGTTCTGTACCCGGTCATTTTTTTTGTACTTATGGCGAGTGGTTTCAACTAGTATCCGAATAGCCAGTGATCAGCGTTAATAGAATAACGCTTGAAATCTCTTAGAAAACGTTATTTATCGGTCTTCCATACACCACTGTAATGCTCTCAATCTCTGTTTCCATTATAATTCATGACCTGGCATGTGTTAAATATTTCCACTGTTCCCGAGTACTGTCCTTTATATCACGTTCAGTGCCACTCCTACCGCTGTACTCTGCCAACGAGTCTTCGATATGGTGAAAGGGACTAAAATTCTGATCATCCTTTCTAATGAAATCAGACACAATTTGTTCAATACAGTGCTTTTATGTGACCTCTGGGAAATTGCTCCATCCTGCTTTAAAATGTAATTTTCGTCGGGATAGAAGCCAACCTCCACGAGACTACATAACGCCTGATTCCGGTACTTAAATACCATGGTTTATGTTCGAGTCGCCACAACGGTGTCAAAAAAAAGCCACTGAATCAAAACTTTGAAGTGTCAGAAGCTATAACATGTAAAGGCAGAAAGTGAAATTTCATAGAATCATTTTTGTGACATCAATCTTAAATTTGGGCGTTTTCACCCATTCCCTTTTTGGAAAAACTTTGGAAATTGTCTTATCATCAATGCCAATAATGACAGTAATAAACATTTGTAAAAAAAGAAAAATGCACATCATTCGTCTGGCACATGTAGCTGCGAACGATCATATGTATTTGTAAAATTGCCCACGCCATGCCCCGTTTAGAGTTGTATTTTGCTTTTCTATTGTCCACACTTCACAAACAGTAATGAACAAAAGTTTTTCTGTCACAAATCAAGATTTTGGCAGTTACGAGGGGTATTTTGATGTAACATCAGCCATCTTCGGCAGTCTCAATTCGACTTTCAAAGCATTCACAAACGATGTATCATATTTTGAAGAGATATGCTAGAATGCATGAATAATTATACATATGACACATTATACACAAGGTAACATAAAGAAACTGCACATATGAATATCAGATATGAAGTGGATAAAATCGTTTATATCATTATCCATTGGGTGCTCTCAAAGAAACACTGAGCATTTGACAGATGGTAAACGAAACTTCCATTGAGTTTATTTTTAATTAAATAAGGACTTTTGTTCTTAAAGTAAAGCGTTGTTGCGATTAATTTTTCAGCAACGTGAGGCAGACACATTGCTGCTTGGCAAAAATGCAATACCCTTCTTGTCGCACCAAACACAATGAACGAGACATCAGTCGCCATAAAGATTTTAGGACCGTAAACACTGTGTTACAACTTTTCAAATACAGGGTGGTCTAAAGGGTTTTTATAATAATTAAGCAGCATTTTCTACTGAAAGGAAAAGTTTCCTAATTTTTTTTTTACATAAACCTGTCCTACAAGGTTGTTATTTTGCGTTGTCATCGTTTTTCGAGTAAACCGCCACCTTCCAAGCACACCTTAATAGTTTTCAACGTGTTCCACCCAACTACCGCGCCGATGAATCAGTGTCTGCACGCACATTTAAGTTTGTAACTATCCTATTATACACTTAAAGGGAATATGTCTCCATTCAAATGTTATCCTTAGCTTTTGCAACCAAACGCATTTTGGAAGTGGTTGCAAAATGCGGTCGATCAGAATATGCGCTTAGACTAGTGGGGTTACATTAAAAGCGCATTTTACAAGCAGGTTTTTTTTCTAAGTTAATAAAACTGTTGGAAGGATTGTAGAGATACAAACGAGATATTTATCCCAGCACTTCTGTGACAATGGCCTTCGGAATGACAGTACTAGTGCGACTGGGGGTTAGGCAGTTCCTGGGGTGGATGAATCAATGGAATTTTCTTTATCTGTTCCTATATTAATTGGGCACACAAAACTTACATGCTTGTAGGATCGAGCTATTGAAAAAAAAACAAGGTTTTCCTTTCAATAGAGAATGCTCTTTTATCAAATATGAAAACATTTCGTGCAACCTGTACGATAAAGCGAAGCTCCTTATATCCATCATAATTTTCTGGACAACCCCATAAAACAGAGAACGCTATGTTTCGCTTTATTTGGAATGCACTCTTGTTACTGTAGTCAAGAAAATCAAGCGCCATCAAGATTTTGAACAGAGTGCTTCAAACATTTTTTCCAGCTGTTCAATGGGGAAAATTAATGTCGTTTTACTTTCTATGACTTCTCATCTTTATATAAGGGCACTCAGTTTAGTTTACAGTCCTTGTAAATTTCATATTAAATAGAACTAAAAAAAGATTCATAATATTTTATTACAAAAATACATTAAGGCCAGATCATACAATTTTAATATCGATACTGACCTTAACAGGTATTTCAATTGTTGAACAATCATCACATATTTCTACTCTTTTGACAAGTTCAGCTAATCTTTATTATATAAAGGGAGATTTCTAACAACTGTAAAGAAGTATACACTTATAAAAGGGTAGATTAATCTATTTCCAACTTATTTTTGGGTTCAAATTTGTGCTGATCCATTGATCGATTTATAGCAGTTCATCTCCTTCTTCTGGGATGACTTTTTCCTTGTATTTTAAAGCCAAGTGTTTATGAAAAAATTAGTTGAAGTTATTCAGATCTACGCCTTCTGAATAAGTTACACTGCCCTAATTCAGTGCCAATGTATCAAATATTTCGAAATATAAAATGATGCCATTACTTTATACTTAAATTTTAAATACAAATATTATACAAAATATGTCCTTTAGAATACAAACACAAAAAGTATGGGACAAAAATCATCACAATCTCCCAGCGATCCTGTAAACCTTAATGGTTCTTACATCTATGCATTTTAAAGTAATGTACATTTGTAACCCTTTTTCAGATCTATGAAATCAGTACATTTTGAGATATATTGCTAACATTATTCAGTTTATCGTAAATACACAATATCACCAAACAACGATTGACAGAGAGCTTTGGTCATGCCCAACATTTCCCTTTTCAAATACACTGAGCAAAGGTATAAACGTCGCATGTGCATTATTTATGTAACATATAATGGGCTAAGGACAGTATATGGTTAACACGTTTACCTTAGCTTATATGGTTATTTTATAATTCTTCAAATTAACGATGTTTCCGAACTTTTTTGGTCGAGTGTATTTATATAACCCATAACTTTCGTAAGTATTGGGTGGGCGTTTATATTTTTGCTCAGTGTATATAGAACAGCGAGTTACAGATTAGTAGTAGGTCAAACACATCAGTGCACATCTCTCTGACTGATGTACACATCAAATGGGAATCGTCCGAGATCGTCTATAAAGAGGACTTGGCTCATACGAGACCAGCGATAAGGGCGATGCGCCGGTTATGTCTTCTTTTAAAAGCAATTCAAAAGTGAAAACCAAAACTTGGTAAATATACAGTGCTGTGCAATTGACTGTAATTCGACAGATCTTTAAAGAAAACCAGACAAATATCCGTGGATACATTTGGTCAGGTGTTATTCTATGACGCACCGCACTCGCAAGCCATTATTTCTGTCCCCACGGTCCTCCGTTCGCGAAATCTTCCTTGATTTAACCCCGAGTCGCCAGATTTTTTTGGGCTGTCTCGGTTAATTCCTCATGAGTTCTATTGCTGACCCTTTTCAGTGCATTAGAACTCGTTGAAAACGTTGCTTTTTACTAACGACGAAAACCAGAAGGACAATTGCAGAATCGTGCGGAAAACACTTGGCTTAGGGCAAGCTGGTGAACTGAAATTGGCAAATTATTGCACGTTTTCTCCTTTGTGACTCAGCTGAAAGCCTGGGATATAGGCCTATTGCCGCTATGTTGTATAATCCATAAAATATAAAACGAGCATATTTTTACCTTAAGTTTTACATGACGGACAGAAGGTTTTCTTTTTCTTTTCAACGTCGTCTTTCTCTAGTAAATCACACAAACTGTTGTGCCTTCTCTCTCCCAGCCTAAACCTTTTTAGCATAGAGTCTAACAGGCTTGTGAATAACTGTTCAACGTTTGTATTTGATTCAGAGCTGACTTCTGTGTACGGGATTTCCAAGTCCTCCGCTCTTTTGAGTGCCGTTTCCACGCTGATTGCCCGTTCATTCGTGAGGTGACACCGGGAACCGACCAACATCGCTTGGACGTTATCAGGACCGTACTCCTTCAAATCTCTGTACCTAAGTAAAACAAACCAATAACATAAAACGCAGAACATGTTTACAATTAATAAGACACGCCTCGATAAACTTCAGCGCCCTGAACGAATGGGCATACAACTGATTGATTGTTGATGATACATTTGATTGTTGTGGTGAAATTTCTAACGATAAATAAAGATAACCGTAAAGTTATTTTTATGCAATTTTTACGAGCGAAGAAACCACCCGTGTTTTGACAAGGAATGTTGGAACTGTTAGCTTCTGAACCGTATAATTTGTTTGCGACTCAGTTGCAAATTTAATGCATCGAATAGTTTTGTTTCAATAGGCATTACATGACTTATATTCCTGGTCGTTGGTTGTTTTGTTTATAAAGGGTGAAATCCTTCTCATATATATCTTTTTTTGCACTATCTACAGTGTATCTGCACTTGAAATAATCCAGTCACCCCAGTGCTTGTCAAATAAACACTTCAGTGTACACGACGATCATGGGTCCAACAACGTGACCGAAAGGTTGGCTTACCTAAGCTTAACAAAAGGGGGCTTCACTTTAATCTAATAACTACAAAGCCTTTTTATCTCAAATTAAAGTTGGATGGCACTATGGAAAAAAACCAAAAAGATATAACTATAACACAGACATTAAAAGACTGATATGAAAACTCTTATGACTGTTAAAACTGTAAGAAGTTATAATCTCCAAAATAAAAAAAAATCATAAAACTTTTTTTTCAAATTTGACAAAATCCTGCATCTTACCAGTTCGTGACATCATCAAATGATTTCTGATTGGTGACGTCAAATAAGATGATGCAGCCATGAGCTCCTCTGTAGTACGAAGCGGTCAAACTGCGGTATCTCTCTAATCCTATAAAGTAAACGCATTCAATTTAATTGTAAACATTACAATCGTTGATTATGTAATCATTATACAAAAATGGCATCGTTCTGCAGATAAGATGGCGTTTAAGATTACTTTGTTCAGTAATAGCGATTGGTAAACGTAGAATATTTACGTAATGAATACACATTCTACGGCGGGGCCGATCTTGGAGGGCGTCTAGTTTGTAGTAATGTCCTTTTCAATATACTTAACTCCCCCCTCCCCCCTCACACACACACACACACACACACACACTTGTAAATACTCATGGAGCTCAAATGTAAGCACAGGTTTCACGACTGTATTCTACGTACATCATTCTTAGCGCATCTAAAATCTAATCTAGGTGCAATTCTAGATTCAATTTCCTCACTGGCCTTGACCATTCCAGGTATGTGCCTAAACTGTCATTTGTATTCATTGTTATCGCGCGCTGTCACAGCTTACATCCTGACTTGTGAAAATGCTCATTATGGCAGGATTCAATAAACAGCCATTTCAGATAAGCAATTTGTTCGTCGGGTACTAAATATGGAGGCATCCTGGCTTGATAACAATGTCAACAATGCAGGTTTAATATTAGAGGCAGTCTGTCCATGTACTGGAGCTGTGAATCACAGGGCGGGGAATACTTGTTGCCAGGTGGACTACAATGTACGCACGGGGCAGGTAAAATACCTGTAGGCCCTACTCTCTGATGCTGTGTATTCATTCCACATCAAAATAACACAGACTTAACTTCAACGTCTCAGGAATGCCATTCTTTTTTTGTAATTCAAGACCTGGGGCAGCTTTATTTGTTGTACTGACAGTAGTCTAAGAATCAAATGATCTAGTCACAATAAACATGTAAGAGTCACACTTAACGACTACCTGAAAGTAACAATTGAAAGCCTACAAAGGACACCTTCCACTGCAAAGGGGGTCTATAATTAGGGTCATGGGGCCAACAGAATAGCTGCCACAAAACAAACCCGTGCTGTTTGGTATTGGTGTGTGAGTGTGTGTGCGTGGGGGGGCTCATAAATCGGCTGAGAAATCAGGTGGCACTCACTGTGACGGCCAAACCTTGGGAGTATTAGCTGATCTTCACAGTTGAACTACAATACTGAGTCTATGCGACGAGTCGGTGAATGAAGCAAATATGAAAACTATATCCCACATGCTATATACGAAGTAGGCCTATTGATAACTGGTGTAAACAAAGTAACCCAGCAGCGGGCGTAGAGAAAGAGCTCCCTTGATATTAAGATCAGTGTCAAACTTAGTCTTAAGTATAATATGGAAAAGGGCGATCTTGATCAAGCTCGTTAGGTCTTTGATATCAGTATGGCTGAAACTAAAGCTAGGACCCATGAAACTGTGCAATGTATTCAACTTACCGGCGGTATCCCTGATTTCAATGCGAACTCTCTTGTCAAAGCGCACTAGCTCTTTCACCATGCAATCGTTGTCTTCGTGTTTTCCAGTCGTTGTAATTAATTTAGAATGACCATGAACGTACGTCCTGATCAAGCTTGACTTGCCGACACCCCGGTTCCCCACCAGTACCACACGAAAGTTGAAATCGAAGCCTGTATATCGAGAGCTCACGCTCAACCGCGGCCTGCTACTGGCCGCCATGATGAAGCTCTCCTAAAATAGAAACAGTAATATATGATGACGTCATACAAAGGGAATTCCCAAGTTGATTGGAATCCGTTGTTGAACTACTTTTGGTACTTCAGGTTAGTATTCTTAAACAGAAAAAAATTTGTGTAAATAAATACCAACCTGCTGATTTAAAATTTAAACAGTTTCTATCTTATCTATCTACTTATTTAAACCCTAAAGATCCATACCTTGAATGTTGAGGTCGTTATTCAGGGGCGGATTTAGGCCGTCTTCTGGGTCTTCCAGAAGACGGTCAGATTTTCAAGTTTACATTGACAGTTATCTATTTTTTTCTGTCGGAAGACGGTCAAAAAATGGAGGATGGATCAATAAATATAATATGGAAGACTGTCAGAAAATATCTCTGGATCCGCCCCTGTATTGATCAACTAACTAGGCTTACTACAGTTATTAGACACATAGACACACGCAAACACCTGTCAACTACATGAAAAAAGACATGCTAATCATGCAGTATAAGGCAACTATTAAACGTCAGTTGAACATTTTAACACCCCTCACTCTCATTCACCTGACCCCTTCCCTCATACAAGCTTTCTGTAAATTTGTTTACTGAGTCTGTAGGGATGTAGCCGTATTTCCAGTCAAGCAGCTACGGTTTACTTTAGGTATCGCTATCAAAAGGCCTGCTGAGATAGCTCATACCAAGAAGTTATATTCTTCAACTTCTTGCTCATACTAAGTTGAACTGCCACAACTGGACAAAACAAAATGCGACATCTTAGGCTCTATTCCCATAGATTTTAGATCGATCTATCCCCGCGGGGAGTCTCACTAGATTACTTTCAGATAATCCGACTTACATGTCCGTCCCGCCTACTACAAGCTGTAGAGGGGGTAATTAACTTTCGTGTCCGCCCGGCAGACAGCTATTTAGCGTGAACCCCCAGGGAGTTAGGTCGATCTAAAGTAGGTCGATCTAATCTATGGAAATGGGGTGTTAGGCTCTATTCCCATAGATTTTAGATCGATCTATCCCCGCGGGGAGTCTCACTAGATTACTTTCAGATAATCCGACTTAAATGTCCGTCCCGCGTTCTACAAGCTGTAAGGGGGTAATTAACTTTCGTGTCCGCCCGGCTGACAGCTATTTAGCGTGAACCCCCAGGGAGTTAGGTCGATCTAAAGTAGGTCGATCTAATCTATGGAAATGGGGTGTAAGGCCTATTTAAGACGCATCTACCAATAAAATTTTTGAAATATATTCAGGTGTATTATTTGAAAAAGGTGTCCCTTTTCGATTCAAACACCCAAATATATTTTTTACATTAACACGGTGTCACTTTCATTTGGTGCATAGGCCTACATGCACATCTACGTTGCGACTTTTAGCACAGTTCACACATTCTGAAGTACTGAAAAACTGACTTGAATGGAGTAGGCAGAACGAGGATTCCACTCTCAAACGTTTATGTAAATAAATGAATATACTCGAAATATTCCATGCCACTGCCAAGAAATTTGATGAAGATGAACGCCGCTGAAACTTTCTCGGTTAAGATCTTACCGTCTGTAAACATTGCTGCATATACGGCGACAGAGAAGCGTCTGCTGAGAGTGGAATATGAAGAGTTCGGGGGATCGCCATTGGCGAATAAATCCCAGTTTGGTTTTTTGGCACGTCAATAGCGAGTTTTTCATGCATTTTTTCTGTAGCTTCCTGCATCGATTTAATATTTGTACAATGTTTTTCTCTTTATTTTGACACAGCATGTAATGCATCGGTCCCTGCACATGTGATCCGGTGACTTTTTTGAAAATCCAAGCAGACAATGTAAATCCTTTTTTTTCTTCAAAAATTGTAGAGATACTGATCCACGACAGAGTGCCTGTTAGATCTATCTCCTTTAGCTTGTACGCTGTGTGGCCCTTTCTGTTGTAAATATTGGAGTATATTCTGTACGCTTCAACTGCACTTGCACTATTCCTTTTTCAGAAAAATTCTTTAGTACAAATCGTATGAGTAACTGTCACCATTCACCAATTTTGTATATTCCGGATCAACTGGACACCTGAACCACCAAGTGACCTTCTGTCCCGTCCGGAGACGTTATAATAGGTGGCTGCTAAACAAAGGACACGTGTCTTCGTAAATATTAGTTCCCTGCTAATATAAAGTATTCAAAGGGACGTCACAGTTCTCATCCCCGTGTTACATAATATACAATACCTCGTCCTTATCACATGCGTCGCGAATCATTTGTGCAATGGTCATTAGTTGTCTGCAGATTACACTGCGATATTCCTAACCACACGCTTATCTGCCTTAACACTAAAACCCTACCACGAAGATATCACATCGAAGTTTGGTATACAGGGCCTCATGTTTATTTCATATGTATACTATTAAATTTTCCATGGGTTCATTTTGTGTTATTCTTCATCTCGTTTATCTAATCCATCTTTCTTTTATGCCTGCAATTCCACTTTCTCGATAACTACATGTATATACTTCATTGTGTTACGGTATGTCTCTATCAAATATCTTATTTAGCTTTTCATAATAAATATTGAAAACCGCCAGCCTGCCTCTAGGTTTCCCTCATTTTCGTCTATAGTAATAAAACACTGGCCAGGGAAGTGATAAATCACCCGGCTATCACATGTATAAGAATAGATTTGTCAATGTCCTGGCTTTTAGGCATTCTCTGCGCAGGGGGACTGAACTCTTTTAATATTCACTATCCTTGTTTTTCATCGTTGAAAAGGGAGATGGGTAAATAATAAAGCTTAAAGATGGACAAATCACTTTCAGTATATAAAAGGCGTGTTTAACTCTCGACATTTGTAAAAATGAAAGTAATAAAAGTCTTTGGGATAAGCACGAGAACTGAAATCGAGAAATTATGATCGAAAAGAGAAACTATGTTTATTCATATGATTTATGTTTTGAGTTAAAGTCTAAAAGATAATCGTCTTCCACTTGAGATTAACGCTTATTAGATTATTGCTACAGCAACAAGGTGCATCGGATGTGAATATAACTCGATAAAGTGATTAAAATCAAATAACATGGCTAAGGGGGGCTAGCTGCCCAAATTCCATTTCCTGTGTATGACAAAATCAAGGAACAAAAGCTTAAAGAGCCCATTGTGTAAGGCATTTGTCTGCGATCCAAGTCACCCTGCAGACAACAGGCCATGGTGATCTTACCGTAAGCACTTCCTCTTTAATTGGAGGAAATGAAGTATTGGAGAGGATCCATTTTCACGCTAGATTTATCGTCGACTCCTTGAGAAATCATCACGCGCGCGCGCACACAGACACGCACGAAAATGTGTATGCTTGGCATTTTCCCTAACAGACTAAAGTGAAGGTGTGCGGGTTTATTGAATAGTTACATTTATCAAAAGAGATTTTTAAAGTAAGATTAGATAAAACATTGGGTTTAATCTCACATTAAAGCCTTAAGCCGGTATAAAAATATGTAAGGTTGTTAGTTACATGTACATGTAAGTTTTCCTTCAAAACATCTGCTAATATCAAATATCTAAGTGAATGTAAGAAACATCAGTTTTAACCACAAGACCAAATTTTATACTGGACGAAATGACTGTAACAAATATATGAGTATAGCACCATAGACGCAGAGATTCATTGGTACCACCAGCGTATACGTACCGCCAGCGTATACGCTGGCGGTACTCATGGTTTTAGTCCCGACCCGTCTCGTACAGCTCCGCCGGCTCCTGCGGCTCCGCCGGCTCCGCAGTCGGGCGCCGGAAACAAGTCACCGTTACCGCTTCTCCTCCTAGACCGCCAGGACCTGTGTCCCCATCTCTTGGATTTAGGTCACATATAATCTCAACTTGAACACCCTGGTTTTTTTGTCTTTGTCGGTGCATTGGCCTAGGCGTGACACTTGTTGAAATGCACCCTTGTCAAAATTTTTGAAAATTCAAGGCTAAATATCTCCCAAACCAAAGGAATTATGGGAAAAATTACTACAGAAGTCTGACCGAAAGTCATATGTGGAGATTCCAAATATGCCCTTGGATTTGACTTTTGACCATTTTTTCAAGGTCAAACAAGCCAAAATTTTCTAAAAATGGGAATTTTCTGCAAAAAAAAAAATTTGTTTGTGCTATTTTTTGGAAACTACACAGATCTAAGCTCTCCTGTTATAGTGAGGGGTTACAATTGGGGGCTCCTTTCATCTTTGGGAGTTTGGGGTCAATCGGTGCATTTTCAAGGGAGAAGCAGCCATTAGATACCGAAACTGAAAACTTGCTTTTATTCTGGAATGGTAAATGCCAGAGACCTTTTGTTCATTACATTTTCTAGAACTTGTCAAGTGCAATACTGGAGGTGGTGTCCATTTTTTTTGTTTTCGATATGGTTTAGGCATTGCGCTATATCAAAAATTACAACATTGCAATATTCAGAGGGGAAAATGTTAAATATTCCAAAATTAGCAGAGATATGCCCATAGTTACTATTGAACTTGAATAGGAAGTTATATTAACCGATTACAGTGACGTCATATTTGCTCCGTAACACTAGTCCCGCGGCCATGCTGGAGGGAATGAACGACGGGGAATAGTAGCGTAAATATAAGTAAACCAAATAAAATAATGTAAACTTCATATCACGATCAAGGACACCAAAGGGAAAAGGATATATACAAGCTGAGGCTTCAGCTGATCAGCGGGATCGACCGATATGAACTCAAGACAGTCTAAAAACGTGAAATCCTACTAAATGCTACTTACCCAACATCGTGTTGTCAGAAGAGTTCAGTTATCTTGTACTTTATTTTTCTTGTTCATTGGGTAATAACAGTTATAGTTTGAGAGAGTTTAATGTGTAATCATAAGTTTAACCATAAATAGAAGCAACTGTTTTCATAAAGGATAGATATAAAACATTTGAGCTGATCATTAGGATAAACCCTTGTGGATTCAAGGAAGAATGTATGATTGTCTTATGACATGAAATATTGCTGTTAGTTATGACTTATCTTTACATCGTGAAGCTGTCAGAAATTATTTCAGCATACTTGTACTTCATATTGGTTCATTAGAAAGTACATGTAACAAGACTGTTGTTCATTCATATAAGCAGCATTGTTAGCATTTTATTATTAGTTCAGTCATTCACAGAAGCATTTGTTAGGCACTACAAATATCCTCAAACCTCAGTTTAAGTGGGACTTAGAGAATGGGAATTTGCCATGGGACTATACACTTGATATCAATGGAGCAATAGAAACTATGTCAATGATGAAAAAGACGTGTCCTTTGTATCAAAATAAAGCTGGTGAGTTGTGTTGTAAATAAGTTTTCAAAATACATCTACTGTCATAAAAAGTATTGTATCAAACTGATTTTATAAAATTTTATATACCATTTGCATTGAGAATATTTTGCTAGGTATTCAGTGAACAAAATTCATGTATTTTAAATTTACTTTAAAACTGCAATATCAGGTATTTGTTGTTCTCTTTTTTTAATGTAAAGCCTAACTATATTGGGGATTTTCAGATGCTATTGTTTATACAGTACAGAAGTAAAGTATACAGAACATTTGCTCTATACCATCATCAACTTTTTAAATTATTTCAGCATTCTTGTACTTCATTTTGGTTCATTAGAAAGTACATGTAACGAGACTGTTGTTTGAGAGAGTTTAATATTCACCATGAATGCAACCATTCATATAAGCAACATTGTTAGGATTTTATTATTATTCAGTCATTCACAGAAGCAAGGCATTTTTCACAATCATGTATTTATGATGTCCAATGTAAAATAATAATTCAGTTCATGAATTGATTTCTGCAACCATTTACTTAAACATATAGGAAAAGTGCACATTTTGTATGAATAAAAGTGAACATGAAATGCTGAGTTCAATTAAATAACTCCTGTCATGCACTGGATTTCACTCTCCTGATGTTCAGATCCTGTCTCCTCAGCTGGTCACAGAGGTCTAGGAATATTTTTTGCTGCTTCTACCTTGTGTGTCATCTAGCTGCCTTTTGTACCTGTCATCAAAAGCTTCCGTTTTTTTTTTTTTTTAATAATTTACTTGCACCCAATCAGTGTGGCTTGGTGGGAAATGCCTGATCAATTTCCTACATGTAAATCTAAATTAATAGAAAGATAACAATAGTGATTTTTATTCATATTATAACTTACAACATTACAGTTGAAAGGAGCAGAATTTAACATTTTTACAGAGGAAAGTGCAAAATTATTTCATGAGGTTATTAAAGTTATATGTCAATTACACCTGAGGTAGAATTTACTTGCAAAATAAAATTACTCTTATCACTACACCAAATCGAAAATTAAGCCACTAACTTCCAAATACACTTCATACAGGTAATTGATTTAATTGGCCCAGCTCAGCTGTGTACAGTACAAATATAGCCTTGACACTAATTGGGAATAATGCTAACCAGGTATAAAAGAGGTAGGTGACAGCCGATAAAATCTAGAGAGCACCGTAACTGATAACAAATTACACCCAAGGCAATAGGTGAGTCTTCATTATAAAAGTCGAAACCCTGCCTGGGTATTTCCACACGTTTTAACAAATTAACACACTCTCCATCCACACTTTTTGGGCACTACTTTAAATATATACGTGCGCCCCAAACGCACACACCTAGGTCTTTGGTGTTCTACTGTTTTTTCTTTTATGGTTAATCTGCACAGTTGGCTCTTCATTCTTTGCTATTAAATAAATTAGTTTTATCCTTTACTTTTCCGAAGAGTCTTGATTCAAAGCCACCTCGCCGTCTCTCCTCCGTTTATGGTTTTAGTTCCTTCACCATGGATTTTTACCACTGCAGGCAGTCTGTGAACGCTTGTAAAGTAAGTTACCTTCTCTCGATCAAATACCCTGCAGTAATTCATCATTTTGCTCGGTTAAATATGAAAAAAAATACAGAAAACGAAAACTGAACTACAGACATGGCTTGTTCATGCGCAGCAGACGATTCCGGTCTCCCTCCAGTATGGCTGCCGTTTGTTTTGATGACGCAGGCTCTAATGGGTCAATACAAGAAAGTGGTCTCTATCCAACCTTAAACCCCTTAAATAACTGAGTAGTGCAATCCCTTCATTGCCAGTATTGAAATAACTTCCACCTGCCTTTTCTTGCTCTTTTGTTAACACTGTCGTGCTGGTGTAATTAGGCCCACGGAAAGCTCATTCATGACAAGGAAGTTATCAGTGGATGTGAGGACAACACAAAATCAAGGGGCAGTGACGGTGGTCATCTCTCGCATTCATTTATTGTGTAAGCAAGTGTGAGTGGGTCAATGAATAAGCCTTGTGAATGGGGGGATGAACAAGTTAATTAATGTTAATGCGAAAGTGATGAATGGAAGAGTGAGAGAAGGAGGAATGTAGTGAAAGATGTAGGCAAATTAGGGTCTTAGGGTCAGGAAGAGAAGTTTTCGGCTCCTGAATGAAGGATTTAAGAAATTTAACTAGTGTTTATTAGAAAATGATTGATAATGGAGGAGTGGAAAGTAGGAGAGAAAAAAAATTAATGAGTAGATAAGTTCAGGGGTGGATTGAGACCATTTTCTGTATCTTCCAGAAGATGTTCAGATTTTTCAAATTTACATTGAGGGCATTCAATTTTTTTCTGTTGAAAGATGGGTAAAAAAGAGGATGGATCAACAAAGATAATTTGTAAGACTGTCAGAAAATATCTCTGGGTCCGCCCCTGAAGTAAGTGTATGAGGGAGTGGGCAAGTGAATAAATAAACCCTCTGAACTGAGGATAGTACAGGTTGATTAATGTTAATTATTAAGAAAGTGATGAATGGAGGAGAGAAGGAATGAATGAACAAACAAATGAGTCAGTTAACAGTGGAATGAAGAAACCAGTACATAAATGAGAAAGGGGACAAGTTTAAAAAAAAAACAACAAATGAATAGAAATTAAGTATGGACGAAAAGAAAAAGAATGAAAAACTCAATAATGAATAAAAGGAAAATACTAATGAAAAATGAATTAATGAATTTTATGAATGAAAGAGTGAGGAATGAATAAATAAAAATATTAGTGGATGTGTTGATGAATGAATGAATGAGTGAGTAAATGGATGAATGAACAAATGATAAAATACATGAATGGATGGGTGAAAATGCACAGGTGTTCAGAGTGGGGAAGGGAAAGGGTAAAGACAAGTTGATGATAGGGTGGATACAGCAGCTATGACTGTAATTCACATATTGTATAAGCAAACATTTATGAATGAATAAGATAGTGAGGTACCGGTATATGCCTGCATGCAAGTTTTCACCTGCTGAAAAAGCTATACTGAAAGCTAGACTTAACAGGGGCGGATCCAGAGCTTTTTTCTGACAGTCTTCCAAATTATCTTTGTTGATCCATCCTCCATTTCTGACCATCTTCTGAAAGAAAAAATTAGATAACTGCCAATGTAAATTGAAAATCTGACCATCTTCCAGAAGACCCAGAAGACTGCCTCAATCTGCCCCTGCTTAAAGTGTTTGACATTTGCTTAATTCAAACAAAATTTTTAATTTTATTATGTATGATTGTTTTTTATATTTAAATGAAAGAATCATACAGGAAGTTAAGTTTAAGTACGATAGTATGCTTTTGTAAGCAACAAAGCATGTAGTCTATTTAAACAAAAGTAAAAAATTGGAAAAACAAAGGTTTCTAAAGTTTGTGAATCATAATCAAATAGTTAACCTTTGTTTTGTGCAGAAGGGTATTACCCCTTCCTTTTGTGGTAAATAATATTACATTACTGGAAATTTAATTGATTTTGTCATTGAATGATTCAGAAGCTGTACAGCCTTTATTTGAACTATTAAATTTGCATCTCTGTCAAAGTGCTTCCTGTTAGGCCAAAACCTAGCATTATATAATATACATGTATAACTATTAATAGAAGCTTATCGTTTTCCACAAACATTAAAAAAATATTATTGACTTTTTGACAGTTATAAAAGTTTATGTGAAAATAGAGAACTTAGTAAGACCTTTGATGTTTTAATTGATAATTGTGAATGTATTCAGGTTTGCAGGTAAGAGGGGGGGGTTCAAAACTCTGCCCCTTTTGATGAAGAAGGTCCAATCTGAATCAAAATTTTATCTTGATTTCATGCCATTCCTTAACTTGGGTTTACTGTGGGGTGGGGGTGGGGGGTAAAAGGTCCACATTTTCAAAAAAGAACCCCCCCACCCTTTGAAATTACTGGTTGTAGACCTGGTATGTATTTCCCTATCCTCATCAAAGGTAGAATTATGGATCAAGGAAGTCATGAAGCTTAGATCATGCACCTGACCTAGAAAAATTATATATATATAAATATTTAGATCTATACCAGATATATGATGTATCTCAATATACATTAAGAGCATCAAACGGTGCCTGTAGTTCATACATGAAGCAAATTCTGGGTCGCCGAGAAAAAGAAGTTTTTTTAGACATACAACTGAGAATATTTTGGAGAAGTTGAAGGTTGGTATAAGGCAGCGATATAGTTAGCTTGGAATTTTATACACAGATAAGATCAGTCACAGCATATTTGATTTACAGTTAGAATATTTGTAGGAGTTAGCACAGTCTGGGATGATAAACCTTACTGCAATAATTGTTGGAATTTTTATTATCAGGTTGTGTGGCTCCACATTGACCTATTAGAATATGAATGAGATTAATTTTTTTTAAAAAAGGACATGCATGCATACTTTAATGTTATGGTGGAACTTGTATAGAGGCATTTAGTTTGGTAATACTAAGATATCCAACAAAAAAGGATATACACACTGGAGATGGCTGAAAAGATGAGCTTAAATTGCTTGTGACATTTTTTTCTCAGGGTTGTTTTAGGGCTCACACCCATTGAAACTTTTATTTAACACAGATTAAGACCCCATTCCCACAAATTTTAGATCGATCTATCCCTGTGGGGAGTCTCACTAGATTACTGTCAGCTTAGCCGGCTTAAGCGTCTTTCTTGCCCACTAAAAACTGAAAGGGGGTAATAAACTACCATGCGTGCTTGGCTGACATCAATTTAGCGTGAACCCCTAGGGAGTTAGGTTGATCTAGATGGATTGATCTAAATCTATGGGAATGCACTCTAACACAACTCCTCCAGGCTCTGAGTAGATTACAGAAAAGCTGGTATATATGTTGGAAACAAGAGAAGTCCTGTAAATCTGTTTAACTGATTGCATTCAGCAAGAGTCCACATGGAGTTAGATTGATCTACATAGATAGTTTCATTGGGAAATGTAAGATATACTCTTGGTGGGGAGGTTGCACAAGGAAGGGTTTTTGCCCTCACTTCACTTGGCCATAATGTTAGGCAATGAAAAATTTTCCATAAATAGGACACAAAAATGGAAAATTTCAAAGTTTTGTCTGGTTTCACTCATTATATTGTTTAGGGGATGGAGAAGGAGGGTTACCTTTGCTAAAGGGGTGGCACATGACACCACCCCTCCCCCCCCCCCCCCCAACACGCCCTTGGATCTGCCATTTAATTACAACTTATGAACATTTTGAATTAGTTGATGGGATTTTATGCTGTATGCATGTGTATTGTGCTATAAGTGAAAACTGTGCATGTGGACATCTCTGTTATCAAAATTCTTATCAAATATGGAGATCACTGCAAGGAATCGTGATCCCTCTGATCCCTGATGTGACTGCTAGTGTGTGCACTGTATATATATATATATATATATATACAAATATATGAACAGTATGCAGGCATTGTTGAATGATTAATTGGAAGATAATACATTAAACAATACATTTGATAAAACATAAATATTGAGGCTATCTGAATCCTGTGGCAAATGCTCGGTGTATTGCTGATTCTTGTATGTCTGTGGAAGGTAGGTTTTTATACTGTCTGTCTGTCTGTCTGTCAGCTGGATACAATGTAAAAATATACGTCTGTCTTGTTGGTGTGATTTAATGATGCAGTACATGGCAGATGCTGGTATATGCACATATCTAGACTAGTAAGGGTAGGCATTTTGTCATCTGCTTGTATGAATGTACCAGTATGAATGTCTGCCTATGTCTAGCTGAAGACATATAATATTATCTTTCAATTTATCTGTCAGTCTGCTTATTCACCTGTTTGACACTTGTTTGTTCATCTGTCTGTTTGTCCGTCTGTCTGTCTGTCTGTCTGTCTGTCTGTCTGTATTTACAATAAAGTTTTGTGCATGATTAGAGGTAGATCTTTTTTTTTCATACTAAGCTGACCTCTAGACATATTTGATGTTGTAAAATAGGTTTTTTGTTGTCTTTAATATAACGATGGTAAAAGATATTTATATTCAATTAAGAACTAAAATCCAGTTATGCTCAATAGACTAAATAAAGAAGAATTGAAAGTGTTTGTTCATCAAGTCCTTTAATAATTCCTTTAAGTCATCTAGTCATCGAATTTATATAAATGATATGTTGATAAGTTCCTGGAGAGGTTTTCCTGCAAAGTAATAGTGGAAACAAAGATTTGTTTGATGCAGCAGCTGTCATAGAATTGTCACTGTAAATCGAAAGAGAAACTGAACATTATTTCCTTGTCTCTCGATCCTTCCTCCCCCCCCCCCCATCATTTTCTGTATGTTAGCTCATCCCCTTAATGATGTCTTACAGGTTTCTTTATGTTATTTCTACATTGTTTTTG